CTAGTCGAGACAACATGTCCTGAATAATGAATTTGACCGTAAGTCTTGACTTATTTACGCTCGCGTTGAGATACGTCTTGTGGTTATTCTCCATCGATCCCACACGGAATTTCTCACGTGCGTCCATCTCCACTGATTATTTCAAGAAATATACTATATCCAAAAAATAATTTCTCTAAAATCTCCTCTCGAATCAATTCATATTAATCATTGAATTTTTTTATAGAAATATTATTCAATATTTCGTGAATTGCGTGCACCGAAAATGTCTGCAATTTATAGTGAATGCGGAAGTACCTTAATATGAAAAAAATAGCTTGGATATCCATTTTGATTGACGTCTTATCATCTTCCTGTGGAGATGCGACAGATCTGGAGCAGCTCGCGGGGCTCGTGAAATATGTTTCTTGTTCGGAGGAAATTGATTTCTTATTAATTCGCGAAATCGAGGGAAGGAGAAGCCATTGAGAATAGCGAGTAGAGAATCTCTATTCATCCAACAACTTTTCACCGAAAACATGCGATTGAATAATGGATTTGTATTCACTTCACACACATTGAGGCCTTGAGTAAACATGACTTGCTATTTGTTTAACGATATTCAAGAAGATTTAACGGTTTGAATTTTTTTTTTCAAATTGACATACATTATCTTTTTCTTATAAATTCTTTCTCCAAAATTCCTCAAATTTCTTCCATTAAATGGTATTTTCACTGGAATGATTCTATCGCTTTAAAAAACTTATTACCAAGTACAAACACCGACAAACCGAGAGTCTCCAATTTCTTTTCATTACCATGAGAATTCCCCCGATTTTTCCACTCTAACGTCATTTTATCCGATTGAACGCTTCCCCGGGCTCCAACAATTCTCTGAGCGAGATCTCATCGTTAAACTGATCTCCAATTTTTTTTTCCACCCTCGCCAGGACGAACGAGGAAAAAAAGTAAATTTAAACAACAGAGGGAAAGGAGAATGGTGTAGATAATAAAGCTCTTAAACGGAAGCGATTAACGAGTGCATTTGCACTTGGTGTGTACTCGGTTCACAGGATTGCTAAACAAGTTCGTTAGTAGAAGGGAATGCAAAGGGAGAGGTTTTAGATACTCTCGGGTTGAAAAAAAAAAAACCCGCCAGCAAAAAGTGCTGCGAGGGGATTTAAAAAAGCAAATGAAAATCCACTGTACGAAAATTCAAGGAAAAATATGATGATAATGAGTGTGTGGAGTACTGAAAAAAGCTGGAGTGCAACATGATGTTTAACCGGTGTTCCCCACACACTATCTTATTCCGTATCATCCGAGCAACTCCATAAACACAATTTTTCTATGCCATTTCTTCTCTCTCTCCATTGCTGTTTATTCGTTTGAGAATTTTTCCCTTTGATCTCCTTCTCGTATCCCACATTATTTTTTTTTCTTCACCTGTACGTTATTACATCCCTCGAGCACGAATTCCATATAATACATGAGATGGATTGCGCCAGCGAGCTCGACCCTGTAAATATAAAAATGATAAAAATGAGAGGTGAAAAAAAAATAGGGGAAATACATTTTAAACAGGGTGAGTGCACATAAAAGACGTGCAATGGTGGAAAGAATATGGCTGAGGCTCGTTGTATGATATGTCGCATTCGTGAGCAAATGTAATGTCTCAATGGCATACTTTTGTTACGACAACAAACGGCATCCCGACGAAAAGTGGTCTTTACGGAATTTCGTGTGACAAAGTTCGTGAGTTGAGAGCAATTGCCAAGTATAAAGATGATTTTTTTTTATTCTCAGAGAGTTGATCCCAAGGAAAGTCCATCAAAAATTTTCTAAACATGTCAAAAAGACATTGAAGTCAATCATTATTAAAATGTCGTCTCATGACTATTCCAGGAAAATACCGCTAGTGAGTGGCTCGTGAAAATCCCAGGGAGATGCAATTCTGCAAGTCTAATTGCAACCGAGGCACTCACCCATTCCATTTACCCTATATACGTATATATTTACTTATGGGAGAAAAGCTACTGAGGACGAAACATTTTTAATTTCTCACCCCGTCATAAATTCCATCTGACGAAGAGTTATACCCGTTTTCTCTTCCTGAATACCTTCTCTTTTTCGTATTTTCCGGTAGATTCTTGTTGAGAAACACGAGTAATGTCGGGGTAATTTACGCACCTTCCGGGGTGAGAAAGGGGACAGGGGGGGCAATGAGAGCAATTATTACATGAATTAGTGACTTTAAATGTCACCCGGGGATATTTTATTGCAACAATAAAATCGCGAGAGCACCTGGAATTATTTTCTCTCGCCATTAGTGACAACTTTTCAGAGATTTTCCTCTTCGCTGCTTTCACTTTTTGCCCTTTTCCACGATGGGAAAGCTCCTTAAAAATTGTCCACTTGACAATTTCATTAGTCTCCAAGAGAATGTCTGTTGAGAGGCGGAAATTTTTATTCAACGACGAACATTGAAGCAATAATTCAGAACTCTATAGAGAAAATCATTTTTTTAATTCAATGATTTTTCTCGGAGCAGTGGGATTCGATTTAATTTAATTTTTAGAGACAGCTATCGCTTGCTTTAACATTTTCCATTAGAATTTTGTTCGGGAAATTTCGGGAATTGGGAAATTATTGCCTCGAGACTCTTTTCTGTCAAATGTCAATGGTGCGGTAAAATATTTTTTTATGTCAGTGCACATGCTCGGTGCACTCTTTTATTTACTTGTGAAACGTTTGTAAAGTAGCACTGGGGAATTTGCTCTTCACCTCCAGGGACACTTGCTCTCGTCGCTGATTGTGAGTGGCTCTTGGTCCTCGGTTCCAGACTCCTTGAACCTCCGGGTGTTGCTTTTTCCCCTGCATTTGTGTTGAATAAACCCGATATACCACTGTTACTTAACGTAACCAACACTAAAAACACCTGTCCACCTCTGTTTTCTCAAGTTAAACTCGATATTTCATTTTCACCAACGACTCGACTTAATCCAGGATTTAATTAATCGTCGATCCAGAATTATTAATGTCCCAGGGAAAAAACGAGTTGATGGAAAATTTATTGAGAATACGAGTGATATTAATTGTCGGTGGTAATTCCGAGATATCTGAACGGGGAATTGTCAAGTTGATTTCAAGTCTTGGAGAAATTAATGGAGAAGAAATGGAGATTTTTAGGAAGACAGGAGAAATTTAAAATTATTATTTTCTTTGTTTGAATCATATCCATAATTTCGCCGAGCCATTTCCACCTGACGTGGTGAATGGAAATTTTCCAAATACGTATTCGTGATGATGTTTTTTTTTTCGTATGTGTATTGGCTACTACATCCATGGCAACACGGCACCCCCACAAGAGGAAATGCAATCCGGAGCGAAATGTTTACGCTCCACGTCCAAAATATCAAAACTGGAGCGCCGTTTTTCCATTGAAATGATCTGAAGCCAAAGCGAACAGGTGCATTCCCCCGAGGCCTTCTCAAATTCCGAAATAGGGAATTCCATTCGTTTGTTCGCATGCCACTTGCGGTTGTAATCCACTGCTCTTCAATTCCGAATAGAATTCAGAGATATTTTGGATTTTTCTGGGATGAATACAGAACACTTCATCACTCGGGTCACGAAATTTTCTATTCATCCACCGAATTCCTCAGATAGATCGAGATGGAATGTTTAAATATTTCGCCTTTGGCATTAGCAAATTCAGAAATATAAACAGGACATCCGGTCAATCGGTATTTTTGTCATTGAAATGGAATTTGACATTTGGGGAATCTCCGGATTGCATTTGGAATTTCAATTCGAGGACAATGCAGCTGAGATGGCTTGACCCAAGGCCTGCGCTATTTATATTTATGAGCCACTTTAATTCTGTTACTTCATGTCAATTCTTAACCCAGCTAATTCACCTCCGGCGAGTTGAAGATTATTGTCTCAATAATAGGCTGCATCAAGAAAAAATGACTCCAGATTTTTTTTTAGGTTCTGATCAAAAATTGAATTTAACACAATCTCATCAAATTATTTCAACTCTCAATGAATAAACAAAATTGCCATGCTATATCGGATGAGCATTGTTCGAGCAAATTACCCGAACCGATTTGTTCTCAATTAATCACCGAACAATGAATATTGATCTGGCCGGGAAATATAACGCGTAAAATACAGTGAAAAGACACCATTATGGAAAAGCGCTCGAGTTTCATGCTCGCGCATTCATATTGCCCACGTACAAACTTTAGAAGATCGATGAAGCTTTTGTGTAATGTCTGCCAACTGAGAGATGCCAAGGCTTTGACGGATACTCCCTCATCTATGGTGAATGCAAATTACGCAAGTGTCATCATTGCCAATAAAAAATAACGAGTGATGTCATCCTCCCCGAAACACCTTGGCATCTAAAAAAAAAATATTAAATTTTGAATTCCAGGAGTGGTCGAACCTTCCGATGAGCACAACTTCCGTTTTCATCCATTGACGCCATCACACCTACATTTAACGTCATGTGTAAATCGGTTATAAATTAAATAACGGTTACACATAGAAACGTGCAGTACATGAAGTGCCCCAGGAATGTCATATGGACTCAATCTCGATATAACTCAGACCTGAATCAAAAATATACTGCATTAAACAGACGAGATGCATTGGAAATGTGTCTTTGATATTTCAAGTGGTGATTTTAATCATGTGGATAGATGAGTCCTGAAGAATCGAAGCTGACACACATCTCCGCCCCTTTCTCATCAATTCCATATGCACATTGTCTGAAATAGAACACAGACCATCAATTCCTCACTTGCTCTACATTTCACTTCGCACGCTTTTCATGAAGAATCATCCCAGAAATCACTGGTTACAATGTTATCCTGACGTTACGCCCTGGAAAAATCACTGGTCAATTAATTTTCCCTCGATTCAATGATCAATAGCTCAAAGACATCATCAGCTCCGGAATAATCCTGAATAATTGACTGTCGCTTAGATTTATAACCAAAACTCAAGAATCCCAGGGTAAAATGGATCCCAATGAGTTGTACAGTGCAGATCAGATAAACATTCCCCCGACATTTCCGGAAATCTTGAAAACCTACGTTAAATCAGCGATTCGTACTCAGCCCTATGATCTCCTTGCCTGGACGTCAGCCTATTTTCGTGCTCTTGCCAACGACGAGCAGCCTCCAGTCAAGGTAGACCCGAAATATTTTTTATAATACACCAATTACCCTCTTGCGGAATAAATATGATAATTTTCGCTCACATCTCGATCCTCGTTTTTTTCACCTGTATTTTTTAATGCTGCGAAGGAACGGTTCGACCATCCGCCTTTCACCCATCCAACGGGCCTCACTCCGAGCTACCTGAGAATCCTGTTCAATCAATTTGGTCGGCCCTCATACGGCAGCTGTGTAGCCTTGAAGAGCCTTTTTCACCGGTGGCAGGGCATAGCTCTCCCTGACTTACTCCTTTATCGAATCCTCAAGATCGGTCATATTTTGCATGATGAGGTTGACCTGTACCGGTTTCTAGCCATTGCCTGTGGGCTTTTCTCTAATGTAAGACTTCATTTAAAAAAACTTCATTAAAAATTCCATAACATCAAGTATCCCTCGATTTTTTTTTTCGTCCATGTAGAATCTTCTCGATACAATGATCCACATATGCGAGCTGCTGACGTCCGAACCACCAGGTGGTTCTGCCATGATCCCCCACACAACTCTGGTAAATCTCTACGGGTATCTAGCTCACCTCGATTGCACTGGGCAAACCCCACAGGGGTCTCATGAAATTTCCAGCGATTCAGGAGAGACATATCCTGGAAAAAGCAACCACTTCTCCAAGCCAATCCCCCAGGACTCGGTATCAATTTGCACGTGTGAGGTATCAACAAAGAGCTTGAAAAATACCACCTCTGTGAGTATATGGATTTTGTAATCGCTCTGGGAATAGCTGCTCCCTCTCATCACGATTTTATAGGATGTGAGTTGGGAGGCAGGTGTCTTCAGCCAAGTGACCCACGGCTCAGAGAGCACAAAGACAATGGATGAGGATAAACTGCTTGAGGATGATGTTCACTCGCTCGAGGAAACTGACGAGATGTCGACGGAAGTGTTGGCGAATGATCACAGGAGTCTCGAGGTCGTCGGGACTCAAGAGGATCCACTTCCTTCTGCTGATTGCGATGACTCGCTGAATAGAAGTCATGGGGACCCTGATGCCCTGGAAAATGTCTCCGGGGAGAACTCTGGGGAGGAGTTTCCTGGGGAATATTCAAGCGAGGTCAGCAGTGAGCTATTATTCAAGTCGTAGAAATTTTTTTTTAAAAACGAAATCAGGGGAAAATATCTCGTGAAAAAAAATCACCAAAAATTTTATGTTCACTTTGAAATTCCGTGGATTTTAACGATTATTCTATAGCGGATATTTGGAGAGATAGAAATGTCAGGGAAATTCTTCATAAACTCCCGGAAAATAGATATTTCGTGGATTTAACGGTCACCCTGGGTGGAAAAAAAGGGGTCGAATTCCAGGGGATGGAATAGGGTGGGCAGTATAAAATCGGTATACGTGCAAAGCCGAGTTGTTTTCGCTTGCACTTCACCGTGAGCTTTATAGCTCACCCATTAATACCTGCACGATACCACATACCTCCATCCATGTGCCTTTCTTGTTCTATTCAGCTCTACTTTACGTTCGAGGCAATTATCGGAACTCTGGATGTATACCGAGGGGGAAGGGAGAAACTATTAACGGTTAGGGTCGTTTCCTCATACTAACTGGGAAACTGGCAATCATCGACTCTCGTTCCACTCCTCATACCCCGGGTACACCAGAAATCCGAATTTCCGAAGTCTCATATAACCAATTCAGCAGAACCATTCGAGTCGATTTTCCCTCATCATCATTCTCTGGAGGATATCTCGGCATCACCAAAAGAGATTGAAAATTTTTGTCACAATTTTTTTTTCGGCTCATTTCTTTTTCCACAAAAAAGCTACAGTTAAAAATATCGCTAGGTCCGTAGGATTCCGAGGTATTCCTCGGGAACTGCTGGTGAAATGATTTTTTTTTATTTCTGTTAGAGCGAGACTGGGGTCGAATCGCTGGAAACTCTCGAGAAATCCAGGGGCAATTCCCCTCCGGAGGACATTCCAGGGTTCTGTCGGTGTCTCAAGGAAAATCTTCAGAGTCCTGGGGAATCATCGCTGGAGAACTTTGCTGATACATTCGTGGGGATTATTGAGGAGAAATATTCACCACCGCGTGTCGATTACTTTGTTCCTGGGATTGGTGATGTCGTCAGCATTGAACGTGTCAATGCCGTTCAGCTTTGGCTGATGGACTGCTCACGTCGTCAGCAGGGATGGGTTGGACCACGTAATTTGCGGCATTTTATGTGTCCGAGATTGTTTGACGAGTGTCCGGCCATCGGGGACTGCGATGATTGTCGATGTGATCAATAATTTCCCCAATTAAAAAAAAAATCTCCCAATCACAATTCGGTAAATTGACGACAAAAAAAAATTGTAATCACAATACCAAATGGAGCGTGAAATAAGGCATCATGAATTTGTTCTCTTTCAATTAATAAATTATAGGGCAAACAGGAAAAAATCGGGGAAAAAAATGACGCTGACACGATTGCACGTGAATGTTTGCATTGCTTTTACGACGCAATAATATTCCCAGGAAAATCGTCGAGCAGTGAAATTGTCATGAGATATTGAACCTCGTGTCGTCTATTTATTCCCGGCACAACAGAGAATCGAAAACTGGAGGAAAGGAGGAAAAAGAGAAAAAAGAAAATAAAAAATAAAAATAAAGCACATAACAGACGACAGAAAACGGCGAATAAAAGTCGCGTCAGCTCGACGCCTCGGGGGCTGTAGTTTTGCTGGACAATCGATATAAGCATTTGGATTCCTACCCTGGGTAGAAGGTGGGAGACTAGTAGGCAGAGGGTAGAGGGTCTAGGCTAGACCTCAACTACTCACGATGATTACCTTATTAGCGTGCCACAGGGTTTGGATCGATGGAAACTCCAGGAGTACGTGCGACAAGTGAAAAAAATGTTCTTGCGGCAGACGTAAGTTGTCACGGCAAAACTCGTGTTTGGGAATCGAAAGAGGAGATCATCGATATCGAAAGAATAAAAAAAGAATCGAACAATCGATTCGATCGATTATGGAAGTAATTAGTGATATTCTTCTGGATTTTCCTGTTGTTTTTTTTTTAATGACGTGATGAAAGAAGATGAATGGAATGAATGAAATTGAACTTCAATTCTCATTGAACTAATTCTACCCGCGGTGACACCAGTTTCATTCGACCTTTGCGATATTCTCTCCGCCTGCGCCGATAAATCGAACGGTTCTCTCATCCAGCTCCTCCAGTCTGTACTCCATACGACCGACAAAGGGTCCAAAGGGACTTAAAAGAAACCCCCTCGTAGTCGCTCTTCACCCCCAACCCCCCAAATCGATAAATTCCCAGTCCCTTTTTCGTACAATTCCCGCTTTAACTTTCCACCAACTTTTTTTCAAATCCTTTTCCACTCCTCCGAGCCAATCCACATTCTTCCCTTTCTTATCCCCTTTATTTGTATTGTTTTTTTTTTATTGTTATTATTTTTTAATTCCCCTGGCTCTACCCACTCTCACCCTATCTCTCACCTTTCACACTGACGTAATACCAAAGACCGACCTGCGCCGACGGTACGAATAGGGTAAATGCCAACGCGCTTTCTACGATTATGCGAGTTTTACTATAAATAAACGACACTGGAAAGCTCATTGCGTGCAATTGGAGCAGTACCTGTGAATGGAGGGAGAATTTTACGTCTCCAATTCATTTTTACCCGACGAAATAGAAATATCGAGTTTCTGGCGGAATCCTGCATGTGGGATTTCTTCTTAAATTATCAGTAGAGTAAACAACAATTTAGGATGAATTTAGACAAATGATTAGTCATTTATTTTCCATAAAGCATTGATCGATAATGAATTCTTGTGAATCGCATTGATAAAATGATAAATCCATTCTTTCCTGGCTCGTTGATTTTTTATTTTTTATTGGACCGTAAAATAAAAGCAGTTTTTAAGTTTATTATTGAGTGGGTGAAATGGGGAATTGGACAGGTTGAAGTAATAAAAAAATGCTTTCAAGTCTTCATTCACCTCCATCGGAAGATTCTTTTCCCCAGGTACTTGAAACGGTCGGAATAAATTTAATGGCAGAATTTTCCAACAATCGAGACTAGTTGCAAAGAAGATTAACCCCTCGGCAGATGTCCCTTGTGATGGAGTGCAAGTGGCCTTAAGAGCATTTCGATGTTTTCACTGGGTAATCATGACCAGCTTACCATTCCCAGAATTGAGGTATCCTTATCTATCAGAGTGCAACTCCCCTGGGGTATTGGTGTTATGGTGTGTCATGAAAATCGCTAGGAAGTGCCTCCAGCTGTGCACCAACACTGGACAATCGTGTTTTCTCCGATAAATTCTCGACACCCCAGAGGCGACGAAACTTGGAGCTGTTTGGAAGGCACGCGGGGATCGATTATCAGACCTCCCACTGGCTAGTGTATTTGTTGACTGAGTACTGATAACCCAGTGTAATTGTCCTGTACCAACAGTTGACTATTGAGAGTTGGGGAGACAATTCTGGGTGAAGATGCAGTGGGTAAAAATCTTGGGGAGGTTTGAATAACTTTCGTCGTTGCAGACACTCCGATGGATTCAGAGGGTTCAACTCCTCGACTCGAGGCGTGAAATATTAAAGCCGGATCACCGGGAGACCATTTCCACGGTATTTCATCAACGCGGTTTACGATCTCGATATTACCACTCAACTTCTTCAGATTCTCGTGACTTTCAATTGAGTCGAGATCATTTGTGCAATTTTTTTTCAGATAATCCCAGTTTTTTTCATTTTTATTTTATCAATTCAATTTTTATATTTTTTATAGGACTGAATATTGCGTTTAAAAATTCCACGTAAATTTATATTGAAGGGCTGAATTAATAATTGATTGCTCGTAATAATAATATTGTACGAATTAAATTATAAGGATAATTTTTTTGGATCTTATTTCTGCTCATGGCATTTAATTATTGAATCTCATGAGCATCAAATAAATTCACTATCGATCCCCTCCCCAAGGTATTCATGTACAAAATAATAATAATGATTTCCATTATGGGAAGCGAGCCATGGAAAATGCAATTTTCTCGTTTATGCCGGATGGCGTCCCTGGATTATCTTTTGTTTAAACATTCAAAAATCAGTACAGAGGGAATTTATCTCCTCGAGTTGCAAGAACTTCTCGCAATAGAAATGAAATTGAATTTCAGGCATTCTGAAATCCGACAAGTGATGAATCAAGTTTTGTCGCGTACTAATTTTCCCTTGGAGAAAAAAATTTCCGGCCACAAAAGTTGTGGTAATTCTAAAAAAAAAATTAAAATCGCTTTTTTTTCCGACTTTTTCTTCATCCATTTCTCCCCATCGACCACCAGGAAGTTTTATCTATTTACTTCTCTCCGAACCCCCGATGAAATTGCACGACTGGGCCTTCCACCACCTTTTCACCCCCTTTTCACCCTCACCTCGATTCAACCTCGTGCGCAGATTCGAATCTCTGTATAACGACAAAAAAAAAACGTATTAAATTACTTTTTCTAACGAGTTTTCCCACCCACAATTTTTTCCCTCGCCCTTTCGCCGGTCTAGCTCATCATTTTCCCCAACTCCTCCTTCAACCCCCAACCCCCTGCCCTCCTTGCTACCCCTAGCTTCCTCATTCTCCTCGACAGGGAGAATAATGATTAAAAAGCGAAAAAGTGCATCGGCCAGAGCCATCCCCAATAATACAAACTGCCCTAGTTACAGGAAAAAAAATATTCTGCAAAAATAACGGAACGCGCCGGATTTTCTGGGAATGTCGGGTGATCCTGAAAGCCGCGTCATTACCTCCCAGGAATCTCGACAATTTCAACAATCTGTGTGTGCTACTGGCATTTTCATTCCACACAAGAATCCAAAATGTAAATAAACGAGAAAACAAACGGAATAAACATGGCGAGAAAATTTGTTACGAGTTTTAGGAGTGGGTGTGAGTAAATTATAGTGTTACGTCAACTGTCCGGATGAGAAATCCCAAATGGTGGAGTCTAAAATTCCGGAAAATGGGAATCCCTGGGGTATGGAGATCCCTGAGCGAATTATTCCAAATGAAGAGATACGGCTATTTCATAGGATCATTATTCAGCATTCAGTCGTTTTTAACAAGTTACCAATTAATATCGAATCGAATTTAGAGTAGTTGAAAAAATGATTGATCCTTTTGCAAATAACGAATTTATCGGCCGATATTTCCCAGATTTTTGGGAATTCCTGAATTGCCAAAGCAGAAAGACGATGGAAAATTTTTGCAACACTGCACCTAATTATCCTCTGCCAAACGAACTCCCGAGAGATCTGTCTTTTATTCCCAACGCATTAATGACCCTGATGAGGAATCCTGTAATTTCCTCGGGGTGCATTCGCTGAACGATCTCCCCTGAAATTATTCCCACGGTTAAACCAACTAACTTTAAAGTGATCTCAAATTTTCTGGAGCACAATGTGCATCTTTTTCCTGGAGAAGACCCAGAAACTTGACAGAAAACTTTGTACCAAGATTATATACCCTGACTAAATGCAAATTTGCTGCCTCTCCAACACCCCTCAAACTCCACCCGAGGCAGCCCTGAATATTCACTCTAATTTGGTGATCAGACGTCAGTGTGACCCACCCATGGGTATTCCTGGGTAACTTTGGCATGAGCCATCCAAAATCAGAGTGCCTATGATCACAGGGACAATGGCTAATGGCTTCCGGCATTCCACACACCCAACCAGACGTATTATCACCTGCATGCGTCATTTCTGAATATGTTATCCACCAAAACCGACGGAACAATTCATCTCCACTGGCATTTCGTGCACTTTCCTGTCAACAAACTTGATATTACGCCATCCAGGTGTCCACCTTTTGTCTTGTGTCTTCAATGGGATGCGCCATCGCTATAAATCATCCTGGCTGACAGCTTGCAAATTGCTCTTCCATTTTCAATCCATAAACACCATTTTTTTTCATTATAAAATATGCATTCCAATTTCACGAAACGTTATCCATTATTAATCAGAATTCTAATACCACTGTCTAAACTTTTGAATTTATTTGTCCAACTCCAAATGAATTATTATTTCAAATTTGTTTGAGACAAACTTGTGAATCAGTTTATTGTCTCGAGTAGATTTACTCTGGAGTCATTTTTTATCAGTGCACAGGTCACGATAAATAACGTGCCATCACGGTTCATCGACCTTCATCATTCTGAGACCTTCGCCGGTGCCATGTTGCATCGTTTTCCAAGATTATGCAACAACCCACCCGAATACCTTCCCCATGTATACCATTAGCATCTAAAACGAGGATATGAGGTAGACCCGGAAAACAGCCGTCCATTGACATTTCCATCTGCAGCAAAAAACCGACCGTGTGAAAAAAAAAGAAATTGACGACTCGTGTATCAATATGAATGTCTCCCAGAATTTCTCAATAAATTTTTCTTCGAATAAAATATTTTTTTCACCGTAAAAACTCAAAGTGCAAAAAAAGATAATGAAAAAATTGTTGACTCTCGTCACGTCCAAGGTAGCGCCGCACGAGTCCCGATAAGAAATAATTTTCAATCGGATTCTAGGCCTGAGTTGTCGTAGAGATTAAATGAAGATTGCGCATGTAAATTAAAGTATAAAAACCGTGGAAATAGTGAGACTAGTGTCAGTTGTGGGTGAGTAATCGTTGGTTGAAGTAAAAAAAAGAAAATGAAGAGATCAGGATTTTTTGGATTCGTCATTCTGTGGAGTGGCTTTGAGGTAAAGCCCTCAGCTTCCTGGTCCATTGGCATCACTTACCCAGAGCCCGGGATTGACGACTCGAAGGAGACACGAATGGACCGATTGAATCTAATCTATCCAGGTGAGCAAAAGAAAAAAAAAATATCATGAAAACCAGAGGAAAAAGGCCCCGTCGAGGAATTAAAGGAGTAACGAAAACCTGACTCTGCAACCGCCATCGATTCTTTTCATTTCTTAACTGGAGGAGAAACCCCCCGAGTGAATTACCCTCGTTACAGTAGACCAGACATCTACACGATATTCCTGTTAATTCTCAGGTACAAAATGGTGTGGAAGTGGAAACGTTGCGGAAAATTCACAGGATCTTGGCCACTTTCCTGTAACAGACGCCTGCTGTCGTGACCATGACCACTGCAATGATGTAATCGAGGCCCTGGAAACCAAGTACAACCTTACGAATCCCACCTTCTACACGAGGTCCATCTTATTTCCACTCGAAATTCATCGCAATATCTTTTATTTAATTTTTTTATCTGTCAATCGAATTTAACATTTGACAATTACAAATCATGTCTGAAAAAATTCACCCCTCACCATTTCCATATCGAGCCATTGATATTTACTCGGTTTTCACGTTTCAAATGGCAACGGTTAGAAATTTATAGAGCACCTTTCCATGAATTCCATTTGATTCCGATATGACATGTTTGTGGATGCGAGAGTACTCCATCAGTTGCATTTTACCTTCCCATTTTTCATGAAAAAAAAAAAACACCCCAGGGTCGAGTGCTCCTGCGATGAAAAATTTTACGACTGCCTTCATCGCTCGGATGACAAGATTGCATCGCAGATAGGTACATTCTACTTCAGCCTCCTGAACACTCAATGCTTCCGGGAAGACTATCCGATCGTCTCCTGCAAGCACTACGCATACACCACGTGAGTTTTTTTCCGGATCTACCCTGGGGAAAAAAATGTCATTTGCACACGAATGATTTTTAAAAAATTGAATTAAAAAATCAGGCGTCGAGTATTTTGTGAAGACCTGAAGAAACTCTTCTGACAGGTATCCGAAACGCTGCGTGGAGTACGATCTGGACGAGAGCCAGCCAAAAATACACCAGTGGTTCGACGTGCCTCCCTTCTGATGACCATCGGCCCGGAATCAAGTGCACCTCAGCCAAAAGCCACCCTCTTCCAGCCAAGGAGGCATGGGGGGAGATCCTTTAACCCACTCTCTTGATGCTCCTCAACTTCTGGCGTTAACTTCAATTTTCATTCGAGCCACTCCAGCTAATGGGACTTCACGGTGGCTTGATTGCCCGGAAATAAATCCTTCAGTTTTTTTATTCCTCTCATCAATTCCGTCTTAATGAGCGATCAATCTATTATTCAAGATGATTTAAGATAATTTCAGATAAATCACTGTACCGTAATAAAATATCAATAAAAATATTTCAAAAGGAAAATCGTTACCAAAATTCTATTCCAATTAATTTGCAACGGATGAAGATGATAAATATTATTGAATCGTAGTGATAACTAAATTATTTCATATTTTTCAGGCGTCGTATCCTCGGTGGAGGTACACTTCGAGAACAAAGACGGTGGTTTTTTTCTTAAACATACACCACGTCAATTCTACCCCTCCCGGGCGGACACATCAGCGGGTTCAATTCCAGCTGGTGGATTATCGAGTCCACCATCGTCAGTGGAATCAATCCTCTCGGTGGATAAATTCACAGTATTTCAAACGAGTGAGCCAGCGTCAGTGCGTGCGACCTACGGCCCCTTCAGTACAAAACAGACAGTACCAGCTCGTTACATAGTCCCTGATCCCCTGGATGCACTACCAGGTCCTGATATCCGAAGAAATATCACATCATCGAATGCAGCGCTGATGGACGCCCAGGAATTGGGCACCCGTCACCTGGACATGTCAGCCCACCTCGTTGGTACGAGTGTACCACGTGACTCACCAGTGCTGAGGGTATTATTTCACGCTGGTAGTGAGGCAGGGGGTAGACGTCAAGTTTTACTAGCTCGTCATCAGAGAATTTGCGTTCTCCTTCATGCAACACTCCCTGGAAAATCTCCACTGTCAGCCGCTTGCAGCCCTGACGGCGAAGATGGAGTTTGTCTAGCTCAAATCACTATTCCAGCTGATTGGTGGCCACCCCTGCCAGCACCCGATGCCTCGGGACGTGTAAAAATTACTAAAACACCACCCAGACTACTGCAGGTTGCGTATTCTGTACTGGAGCCAAGAACAATTGTCATTTCTGATGAGGGTGAGACCTTTGGTGGATCCCGGGGACAAGTACAGAGTGATTCTGCTGGTGGCTGTCGCCCTAGGGTGCAGATCCAACCTGTCACACCTCTCGGCAAAGTGCCACTTGTACCTAATCGCACGGATTACAAGGAATTAAAGGCTGATGATGCATTAACGTTGCTTGTACCACATGGACCACTCTATCCGAGGTCCAGGCTTCATGTCCCTGCGTTCCTTCATCCCCAAATTGCACAGGATACTGTCACCACTGGTGGTGAACAGCGAGAGGTCAATGGATCACCTGTCGTCGCTGTTGTTGTCAGGTAAGTGTTACTGGAATTTTTTTTTTTCATTTTTTCCTCTCATTTTTCATTCATTCACTTTTATTATTTTTAAAATAATGGTTTAACTGATTTTTTTCTTTTAATCTATGGAGTATTAACACTGATTTTGGGGCTTTACTACTTTGCTACTGAATTTAACATGAAATACTGTGCGATTTTTTTTATTTTGTTGGATATTTGGAAACTGGGTCGGACTGAATATTTTAGGGTGGTATTAAAAATAATAATTGGCCGGATGGTAACTATTTTCTCGGGATTTCTCATTCCATTATCATTTGTAATATTCTGGGCAACATGTATTGATCGGTCGACCCATAACGACTACTGTATTTTCAGAATGTTCCAGTTTGCTCAGTAGATCAAAGTGACATTAACGTCATTCTGGAACCTATCATCACCAATTCAATGATATTCTCATTAGCGTTGTAGAATAAATGCCATCGGAATGTTTTTTTTAGGATGCCAAATAATTGAAACCATATCTAATTAAACAGCAATAATGAAGCAACTGAATATTTAATGGAGATTTTGTATTGGAAGAAGCTCTCCAAGTTCATTATCCGATAAATAAAGCAATCTAGAATGCATTTGTCAGACGGATACCCCCCGGACTTCCCCTTAATTGTTTTCTCGACTTTAATTCCAGGGCCCGTGTCAAGTCAGGCGTAAGAATTTTAGACGCGACATCAAGCAACCCAAACTGGATTCTTACATCGGACATTAATGCCAAGAACACATTTGCAACATTCACAGTGAGGAGAAAGGAGAATGCACCCCGGCCATCAAATACGTGAGTCTTTTTCTCTCAACTTCTTCCCTCCTTTCTTATTCCACTGAGCATTTCAAACGTATACACGTACTGAAGAAGATTAAGTCCCCAAGAATTTCAAAGTGCTTGTCGTCATGCCTTTCAATTCAATCCTTTTCTCCAGGACTGCTGAGGAGATTATGACGATGCTACTCGAAGCGAGTGAGGAAGGGGCTGGTAGCAGCAGCTGGGACGGGGGTAGAATTACGTGGAGTGTGCGATACACTTTGGAAGGTGATGATGATGACATTGCAATGCAGACTAGAACGGGCTCGTCTGAGACTCTTCAGTTTCAACGACAACAACAGCAGCATCATCATTATCATCATCACGTTGAGAAGAAAAGGCGCCAGGCACGACTAGAGATCCAGAAGGACGACATCCAAGCTGTTCTGCCCATTTCCAAGGTCCTAAATCTGACTTCAAATTTGAATCGTATTAATATCTGAAAGAATGACTAAAATCCAACAATAATCCCACCCCCAAGTTCTATCTTGAAATTTGCTTCTCATTTCTATTTTACCAGAAGCGAGATTATTAAATGAGAACCAAAATAAAAAATGCACTTTTATTACAAGTAAAATCTAGTTAATTTCGGGTTCTCTTTAATTAAATTCCCAATGAAAGCCCGTGGTTGCATCAATTATGAACTTTCAGTCGAAACTAATTTCTAAAAATAGATTTCACTTTATCTACATCAAACCGTATTTTTGTGTTTATTTTTATATGTTCAATACCCAAAAACAATTAAAAATGTTTAAAAATATTGGAGAAACCAGTGATTTATCCCTTGAGTGTTTCCCACCGCAAAATTACTCGACCCCCTGCATTATAATCTATATAATCAAAGCTCCGAACAACGAAATTCCAAACATTCCTTCTCCATTAGCCCCCAAATTTTCCCCACCCCACGTTACTAATATGGAATTCGAAATTCACATGAGCGACCTGAAACACTCTCCAATTACTCCCCCTCCTCATCAGCCGTTTATTAGCCAGTGGCCATTAATATTCACCAGCGCTCCATAATCGATTTTTATTCTCAAACAATTCCACAAAGATTCAGTTGTGCGTAATGTTGCTAAGTGCATCGTTATCGACAAAACTAGTGCCCAGTGTTGGTTACTGGTCCACAGGGTGAGGAGAATAGCTGCATAATCAAGCATTGTCACCATAATTGATCAAACCGCTGAATTTAGTAACCCAAGTCCAACCGAAACAGCACTATTTCAAGAGCAATTCCTATTACTCCTGTGCTCACACAATCCCCCAACAAAGTACACTCGAAACAACTCGCCATTCATCTGAATAGTTTCAATTTAGGTGTTACGTTTCACTGGGTACAGAAACATTGCAGCATTGCATTTGAAATCGATACGATTTCGTCCGGACTATTATCACCGCACGGTTTTACGCCTTCAAAATACAACACTATTTATTTATCTCTTCATGATTTTCTAATTTTCGTGGTTCTATCAAAAATGGTATTGGTATACTATACAAAAAAAAAAGAGATAAATAATTTTTTGAGAATGAAACGCACCCCTCGCGTATCCGTTTGAATAAACATGAGCTCCTAAATCGGATTACCATGTGGTACTGTTTGAATACTTCACGAGAACAATAAGAGTAATACTGAAAACAACGTAGAGATATTTTTTCGTAAGATGATCCTCCACTTCTGCATGAGCTGAGAGAGCTCGTTCATTAGTATCATTGAGCAATTCCAGGTGGCCCATCTCTCAGAGGTATTTTCCTCCAGTTGTTCTTTGTTATTTCACGACGAAAAGACCTGGGCTTTTGTCATTTCCCCCAGTCCTGTTATCTGGAGCAGACCTCCACTATTTTTAATGCCAAGAATATTTACCTCGCTGTCTTTTAGCTGTGTCCCTGTAATTACAAGAATTCTACCCCCCCAGCGTTGTTAGTTTCTGTTTTACTTTTGTACAAGTCACTTTCGGGAATTGCATTAGGTGAATGAGCATCTGCGACAATATTGGTGTTTGCTGGATTACGCAAGAGCATATCCATCATAATTATTACAGTCACCAAGCCGTTGAGTTATTCATCACCAACTCTTATTTGTGAACAAATAAATCATTTGGTTTTCATTTTTCATTTGAATTGAAAAATAATGAGGGCTCTCAGAATTCTCAGTACTCCAGTAACATCTCAATTTCCAGAGATGAATCTCGATTAAATCTCGACAGATTTACCGGGGATCTATCCATGAAGCTATTCAGGTACACGAGAATCATCCTCACAGTGTTTACACAGAGCTTCTTACCCGCCCCCCCCAGCAATTCGTTTATCTCTCCCTCGACTCGAGCTTCTCTCCCTGGATAAGAAAATTGTTCATTATTAATCTACTCATTAATTCACTCACACGTATTCATTTAATGCAGAGGTACTAATTAAGTCCAGCTAATAGCAACCGAAAATAGAACTCACTGAATGTTTTTTCATCAAAAACAACAGGTATGAAGTATTTCTAGGGAACAATTACCACAGCAAAGTGGTTAAGATCTCGGGACATTAAAGACCGGGGAAATTCTAATTGTTCACAAATTTGCATGAACTTTGAAGCGTATACCTTCATCAACTCATATCTATCCCAGAATTTACCATCTAGTTATGCAAACCCATATTCAACACACTTGCCACCTCGTGCTACCTGAATTATCTAGCTTTTTTTTTCCTCCCCTTTTGCTTCAGAACTGGGAAGTTATGAATACTGCAGTACTTACGGGTCGACAAGTATCTCAGGCGATGAAAGTTTTCATTGTCAGCCAAGCCGGTACCGTCGCCGATGTGACACTTCAATCGTCCTGTCACTCCGAGGATGAGAGTGTTCTCAAGGCAAGTGACAATTGCACTCAATATCAGCACACGTAAACAAATTATTTGTCAGAACCACCGGAAAGAAGGGAGTAGAAGTGAAGTGGTGAAGCGTAAGTCGGTATTTCCAGAAATAGCTTCGAATCCAGAAGAGATATCGAATTTTTAACGACCTCCGAGGTTCGAAGTTATTCCTGAAGAAAAATTTGACTTGGCCTTCATGACTTTTAAATGTCTTTTCCATCCATGTCTCCGGGTTTAAACACATTTTTATGTAACCAGGTCTCATCGTCGTGCAGCAGTGTTTACGTTGATGGATCGGAAATTCGAGGATCTAGTAATGCCTCGGTGATCGTTAAATACGGTACATACACAGGCTTAGCGACATTCACAGTGTGGATGCCAGAGTTTCCCCTGGAAGTGACGGTGAGTGACTCGAGGCTGAGTCAGATAAAGGGTTGGAAGGTGCCAGATGGTCATACGATTCAGAAAAACAAGAGATCGTTGAACCACACGGACAGCGCCGAAGTGAAGAGAAGAAGTGTGACAGGAATGGATGAGGAAGATGAGGAGGAGGATGACGTGGATGCAGAGAGATTCCGAGTGGATGACCACTGGGACTCGGTAAATTGGATCGATCGTAGTCCACTCCAGGCCACCTGTAGACTGAGATTTCAACAGAGCCCTGTTGAGGTTCACGCGAAATTTCTAGCCGCTGGACACGACTCAGGACGTGAATCCTATTTCGTTAATCGTCGGACATGGCTCAGAGTTACTGATCTCGTTGTTGGATTACTCAGGGTCTCTGATCCACGCATTGCTAATCTACTCCAGGACAGGAGTGTACAGGGGAGGGGTGTGGGAAGGACTGAGGTACAAGTGCTGTCACCGATAACTGGGCGGGTCATCGGTGCCAAGGAAATTCGCGTTGGCAATGATCGGGTATCTATTTCGAGACTCTCGGTTAAAGTTGTTTCTGGATTGCAGTTGAGCATTAGCCCGGACACAGCTATTGAGAATGGATATGTGGCCGAAACTTCTGTCACCAGACGATTAACTGCTCAGTATCAAGTGAGTGTCATTTATTTTGTCTTTTAGTACTTGCTATTAATATATTCTCATTTTTGACAATGCCCTCGCAATGGAGCCTAATAATTTCATTAATCCACTTGTTAATATATTATTTATATTTTCTAAATCCGAGATGTATCATAATGTTATCATAATATTTATAGAAAAATTCTGGTAGTCAAAAGGTCAACGGAAATGCATAAAACATAAGAAATGAATAGCAAAAATTTTAAACACATAAAATTTCCCATTATCTACCGAATAAGAGCATTCAATGAATTCAATAGCAATGTATGCAATATTTGATTTCATTAGAGTGAATTATCGGTGCAAAATTTAAGCCGTCAAGTCACACTCCATAATTCACGAAAATCGTATTAAATAATTTCAACGAAGATATATATCCCATTAAATAGCTGCGAGCATATTATACATTCACGCATGATTGCTTTTTTTCGCGAGATATCCGTTATCTCTGGTTGAACGTGAATTTTCGCTTTTTTTTTTACAATCCATTCGGTGTAATTCGAGAAATGTCAATTGCATTATCGAGAAATGGTCATACATAATTCTTAAATGGAATGACCAGTGTCTGCACCGAGAGGAAAACCTGGATGTGACAGAGAAAAAAAAAACAAGCTATCAATAAAAAAAAAATCGCCGAAAATTAAAGTTGACCTAGTTTATATATTCCCGGCCGTTCCCCTGAAACCGTTGAAATATGTTCTCCAGGAAGGGCTCCTAGACATAGACATAGAGTTCTCCGACGCCACAAAAACTCCTCTCCGTGATATATCCGTGGCGGATTATCACCTTGTTGTGGAGAGTCTCGACCCAGAAGTTGTTGCATTTGCCCCAATGGTTGCCTCCCATCATCCCCGCGTAATAGCAGTTGGTGAAGGACGCGGTGATTTGTTGCGTGTCACCCTCCAGTTGTCGGAGGCTTGCAGAATGTCACAAACAGGAACAAGAAGATCAAAAAGTCCAAGGACAAATGCAGCATCCCCGAATTTGGCAACAGCAACCGCAAACGTTGAAGTGGATTTTGCTTCGAGTGACCTGCCACATCGACCCGAATTCGTCCAGAATGATGGTGGGGGTGCAGTTCAAGGCTCATCCCATCATCACAGAGAAAGAAAAACGGGACGCGAGGTCGCACCAGATTTACACGACATTCTCATTGGTAATTTGAATTAAAACAGATCAACCCTCCGATCGAATATCTATTTTCAATTCCGTAATTTTCCAACTATATTGCACGGAAAGAATTAAAGAAAATATTTTCCTCGTGATAGATTCTTAAATGAGAAAAAAAAACGATTGAAATACGATCGTGAAGGTGCACACGTACATTTACCTCAGATGATATCCAGAGAGTAATCCCCCAGATAACAAAATCCCATCTCATCCCACCCACAAAAGAACAAGCATTACACTCATACCCTGAATCCTACCACTGGCAAAATTGAATTTAAAATTGAAATTAAAGGTGGAGTGGGTGGAGTTGGAATCCATCATCACCCTGAAAAGCCAGTGACACCACTGGAAATCGGCATGTACGTTCTCCTAGCTGCATTCTGCTTTGCAATTGTTGTATTCGTGATATCCTGTGTGGTTTATGCGAATAAATTTAAGCCCCAGCCATCGGATTCACCGATGCAGAGTCATCCAGTATTAGGTGCTGTTAGAGCAAGAGCAGTTGCAGCAAGCCAACAATTATCATCAGGTCGTAGACCCCGCGAGTCAACTACAAATGCACACGATTGGGTCTGGCTTGGTCGAGCTACCCTAGAACGTGCAGCTTGTGCCCCTCAGCAGGTAAAATATTAAATATTCCTAAATGCTGAAAAATATTAATTGTGAAACAATTCGCTCGCCACTTTTCATTCATTTTTTTTAAATCGCTGCTTGACATTTTTAAAAATATCTACCCCCTCGTTTTTTTTTTGCCCGTGACTGTTGAATACATTTGGCGAATTGCCCATCTTCACAGTACATTACGATCTGAACTCTTGCCACTGCAGGTACGCGTAACGAATAACCCACTGGCTGGTGAAACCGAGGACGATACTGCCGTTGACTTGGGGACTAGCTTTGATAATCCAAATCACATAGAATTACCGACGTCTAGTCGTCCTGCTTCATCGGTGGCTATCGACACAACAACTTACTGCAAAAAGGATAAACCGAAAAGCTTCTCTGGTAGTAAAGTCGGCAAAACCCAGGGGGGAAAGTCCACTGGAGCTGTCACTGCTTCACCGAAGAATGGGTAAGAACTCTTAAAATCGTTTTAATTCCTATTTTTTCACTTTTTTATTTCACAAGAGAGCTTTGTACACTGTATTTTCTTGGAGGAAATGCCAACTTCATTCAACGTAAATACCATTTTTATCATGCCCTCAAAAATGATTTAAACAAGTGGAAAATTCCATGGGAAAAAAATTCTCGAGTGAGTCTTATATTTCATTGAAAATTGAGAAGAATTGAGGAATTGATGTTTTTATAGTACGATTTTTACTTTTCTCAAAATTGTGATTATTGATATGCTGATTGCAGAAACGACTCAGCGAAAGACACGCCACCGCCTTTACCACCCCACGGTGTTCAGCCAGGCTCACCTCCGGATACCGATAACAACAACGAGGACTACAAGCCACCAGTGCCACCGCACAGAAACACAGGTGTAAACGTGCGCCTGCCAGAGACACCAAAGAAACATCCCCACAGAGTATCAGGTAGTAATCACCAGGGTAATCATCGTCACGTGAAACATCACCACCATCATCACGGTAAGAATCACAGTAAAAGCACAAAAACAGATGAAGGACAAAGTGGAGCTGACAACGATGAGGAGTTCGTTGAGCTGAGAAATCACGATGAAAAGCCAAACAAAGAGTTAAAATCAGCGAGAGAAGTTAAAAGGGCGACAATCGTTGGTAATCCAATGTTCTCATCATCGAGTTCATCATCATCCCAGGAGCACGAAGAGCCAGTGCCACTGGAGGATTTAAATCTTGGTATGGATTACAACCAGATAATGCAGTACTTCGACAACCTCAAGGAGTCGAATGCCTAGGTATTGGCCTCTCTCTACGACTTGGTGGATTCAGAACGTCCGATATGATCACGAATGCGTGGAGAGGGCACAAGTTCTTCCTCGATCATACTTCCCAACGATCGATACAGATTATTAAACCTGGGAAAAATACCATCAAATGACTTCCTCGATTAAAGGATATTGCCGCACATATCCAAGGAGTCGTTGCATAAGAAACGTATATGTACGATTTAATATATTCTAGTCAGCTTCCTAGCAGCACTTAAATTTATGCGTGTGTTAACGACTTTAACCCTCTACTGGTAACAAAGCCTCTTGTCAGTTTATTCTCGTTGGTTTATTCGTGAACAAATGTCGAGTACTAGGAAAATTTCATTGCTGGTTCTGGTCTCATTGAAACTAACAACTTTTAACTGGGAATTGAGGGGCTTCAATCCCTCAGGCTGTCGATTATAACTTCAGTTCGTCAACAATATTTCAGAGACTACGAGAAGGTGTTACGATTTTTTTTTTCTTCTTCCTTTTCTTTATTTATTCCCTGGGTTATAAATGAGAATTTATTGTTGGTTACCAGTTGAGAGTTAGAGAGACTCGGTGGCTTGTCGTACGTAGTCTGCGATTCACAGATGCATCTGTCGATAGATCTCAAAGTTCTTCCGTTAAACCTCATAAAATCAACGCGATCAATAATTGAATGTTGATTAGTGGCGAGAAAATGATCGACTGATTAACTCTGTGTTCCTCGAGTCATATCACCTTTAAATTATCTCATATCTATCATTCTTCCCTCCCCCATCATCAAAGCATAATGAGAAAATCAACTGCACAGATGAAATATAATGCACATTTATTTTTCAATTAGCGAAAATGAAGGAAAATGAAAAACGTCTAACTACACCGAGTTACGTTTCCTAGAAAACGATATAAATGAACATAAAAAAAAAATGAAGTATTTATTCAATTGACGAGCGCGTCGTAAACATTTGTAAATTTTACTTTGTAAGATTTTGTACATATATTATAGTTACGCGAATAGTACAAGAAATACGATAACCCGATGTATTTAGTAATCTGTAAATGTTTATTCACCGATGTGAAATAAATCGTTCGTATTTGCCTCCCCCGAATGATATTAATTGGAGCTATTTATTATCATTTGAGTGATAAATTTCATTGATCAATCGTACTCAAGGGTGTTTATCTGTAAAATCAAATCGGTGTAAGCATTTAACGACAGAGCCACGAGATAATTCCACGAAATATCGAAACCTCGACGCGCGATTTCCAAATTGTTCCCATGAAAAATTACGAGGGTGTAATTAAATTGATGAAAAAAAAAAACATTAAAAATAAATAGTGCACGTCGAGCTGCCGCTTCCTTGCTCCCGGAACTCTGTATTGAACGTTCCAACGGTCTCGACTAAAGAGCGTAAAGATATTTATTTGAGAAATAAAAAAATGGCAAAAAAAAAACGTATAAAAGAGCTTGGCTATGTTATGAACGTTCTACGAATAAAAAAAACTTAATGAACTAAGGAAAAATTGTATATCGCATTTAAAGGCTGCTGGTGGCACATCAATGCCACCGTATCACGTTAATTATAAGTCAATGTGAACCACGATTGGTAGAATTATTAATCCAGTCGAGGGCTGAGTGAGCGATAAATATACTAGGCTTTTATGGTCTATATTTCTAAGTACCTATTGAGGAATAAGATTAATTGTGTAGATTGCGCCGTGTAGACTATTATTCATAGATGGGGAGGATTGCCGAGATGTACGTAATTGCGCAAGTGTCTTTGGCACTATTTTAATGCAATCCACCCCTCTGCCCACACATTCTAGTCCATAATTTAACATTAGATTTAATAAATGAAAAAAGAAACTACAAAATATGCGTTCGTTTCATGATAAGACAGAGAGTCAATCAATGCACTCAGAAAAATAACTTATTTGACTCAAATTCAATATTTTTTGTATTATTACGAACAATTATTCCTAAATTTAAGTAGACGGCTCGAAATAATTTTTTGGTGACTTAGAATACGATGGTTTTTTTAAAATTTCATGCACATTAGAATTAAGGGAATCATTTGGTGGAAAAAAAATCATTTGATTTGAATAAATTGGTTCTCTGAGTGCGGGGGTCAGGAAAAAATCGGTATCGAAGTGATCAAATTACGTGGATTGACAAAATGGAAAATTCCACGACCCATTCTATCACTTGGGCACTGAAATTTATTGTTTGTTTTTTTTTTTAATGAAAGCAATAGCTTGATGCAACAGCGTAGTTAATTTCATATGGAAAATATCTACGTTATATCCACTCTGCATAGAACCTTCGCTTAGGGATACTCATAATTGTCCTACCTCGTCGTAGCATAACTCATTCGAAATAAACATTTCGTTGCAATTGTGAAGATACAAGCAACCTTCCTCACGAAAATAAACATATTCAAATGATTACACGTTAATCAGGCATCGAATGATAATTTATCGTTGATTGGTAAATTTTATTGACCACAATTGCCTCCATATTTTGTATCATCCCCACCAACACGTCCCAATAGAATTTCAATCAATCGATTTGATGGTAATTATCGAGAGCATTTATTCGCAGAGTAAATTAACCGAGTAGACGTGGGACGATATTTATCACGGGATGTTTGTCACTGGGATTAATGGAGATTTTTTTTTTCCGAGGGAATGAATATGGAAAGTAGGGGAGAGAATGAGCATGGGAGTGGAATGTAATTCGTTGAGAAGTGGTGAAACGTCATAATTCTTTTTTTTATATCGATGATTAAAACGCACAATTAGCAGAACCCAAATGAAATTAAATTATTCTTTACGTTTGGTTATCCGTCGAATAATTCTGATAATGAAGAAGATGAGGTTTTTCAAGGACTTACCACTTCTCCACTAAATCCTCGTATTAAAATGATCCTGCATCACTAATATACGTGTATTCGACTAGATTGATAACAGCTTGTGCTAATAATCGAGAGGTATGGAATAAATCATTCATCCGGAGTTGTCACAACTGCATGTTTCCATGAAAAAAAAATGTATAAATATCAATCGAGTGCAAAGTACTGACTACACGTTTAATCGCAGCGACAATTAATGCTTTTCTTTTTTATTTAGAAAAAAAAAACGGTAATGAACGTCGCTGCTCCATTTATCAAGCTCTGTAAACGCTATTAAGTATTAAGATAAACGACTGTCGCCTATTGAATGTACAATATGTAGTATTTACCTGTTGTTACCACCAAACCGTCAGCAAAGAATATTTAAAAAAAAATATTGTAATTGTATTTCATGAGTATTTATTTTCACTCACCCCATGGTAAACGAAAATTCAAATTAATATTATGATATGATACTAATCCAAAACTTTGTCAATTGCCCGAAAAATCTAACAGAGTGAAACAGCAAGGGTAAGTGATTAATTCCATTTATTAAACTGATATAACAAAATTACAGATATTTTCCTAAGAATCTCTTATCGAATTTGGATAACCACCTGTGACAACCACCCATATTATTCTGTATAACGTATTTCCATGTCCAGGGATTGATATTAGTTCTCTCGAGTTCCTCCTCTTCTCTCCTTTTCTCCATCATCATCTCGTAAGATGTGGCTTCAGCTTTGAAAGGCAGCCTCGCTGCCACATTTCTCAAGGTGTACTCCACCTCGAAGTACTCAATGTAACCACCCACTTCGACAATTACTCTTCCAGCTTTAATTGGTGTTACGTAATGATCAATGTGGCCCTTTCCACCCCCCATTCGCTGTCCTTGACCTTTTTTCGTGACAGGTTGCCAGGGTGCATCGACCCTCCACATTGCGAAGACCTTTCCCCCATCGAGATCCAAGTGCCTCAAGAAGAACATCCGAATCATCTCCAGATGTTCATATCGTAGTCGACCACCTCCAGTTGCCACAATTCCGTATTGTTTATGCAATAATTCAGTGTGAATTGGCTCTGGCCCTCTCATGTATCTCAATCTCTTCTGCATCTTGAATGGTCTCATGTTTGCTGGATATTGGGGAACTTTCTCCAAAGGTTTCAGTCTTCCTCTCTCAGGGAACTCAATCTCTAATTGGAAATTAATTGAATAGACAAATATATCAGCTCAGAATTAATTAATTAAATTTTAATAATGAAAACGCGCATAGAAGTTTACCTGGGTATTCTCGAGGAGGTGGAAAGTTTCTGAGTCCTGATGACTGGGTCATCACCACTGTCATTTTTTCCACTGCAAATTTAATAAAATTATTGAGTTGATAATGGTGACAAGGGTATGAAGGAGACCTAATATTTTGTAATTTGGTACTCAGGACGAGGATTAATTACCTGACAGCAGTGCACGCATGGGATTGAATTTACTGAGCATCATGTTTAATAAAAATTCAAATCTGTTGCCACGAAATGTCAAAAAAATGATTGAATAACTGAGATGCAGAATCAGTGACTTAACCTGGCTGTTTTGGTTTTAGGTTATGGATAAACTGGCCTCCTACTTCGAGTTTTCCTCAATGTGGGTTACGCACGCGTAATAAGCGTTGAGATGGGCGCGCAAAGTGGGTCATTGTTACACCAAAAATTGTTTGAAGAAAATTCGAAAACTTGAAGGTATTATTTTATTCCAGGTGAATACTAAACAAAATGCAACTGGTATCTTATAAAAAATATAAATAACTATTGACAGTTTAATCTCCATAGGAGAGATTGATGAGAATTTTCAAAAATCCCACAGGTTTTTTTAAAAGAGAAAAATGATTTTCCAGCATCTTTTATGACTAAAAAAATTAACTATAAAAAGAGGAGAAAATTAACGTACTAAAACAAATTAAATCTTCGTTTTCTGTTCCCCGCGCGATTTAAATTCGGAATCTGTGAAATGTTAAGAAATACTAAACACGAAATAAATAATATTAATATTATTCAAAGGCTCGATTAAAGATGAAATCTCCTGCATAGAAGTTACATTTTACAAAATTTAAATCTGTCCTCAAAGAGATTCAAACAAAAAAGAGATTCTTAATCTCCGACCGTGGAGGAGTGTGAAGAGAATTAGCGACCATAGCTCCTAGTTTATAAGCGTATTGTAAAGGAGCAGGAACTCGAATGGTGTGACTATTCGTGAAATACATGTGTGTTAATCTGTAAGAGATTATTTGAATTTTTTCCAAGGACAAACGAGCAGAATTATGAACGACATTGTAGTACGTGGGAGTGAGACTGTTTTCCTTAGAGACATGAGAGACCAAGTAGAAGTCATTCCTCGTGGGTTGCGTGATGACAGAATCGACGACAGTCCCCAGAGGTGGATTTTCTGCTCCATGGAAGAGTCTGGTGCGTGGATTCGTGGATACAATAATGAATGAGAGTTTAACTCGATTCTCTTCACCATAAAATCTGGCTAGGCCATCATGGACACGACGAACTTCATACTCTGTGATGACTTGTACTTCTTTGGTGAGACCAGATCTTCGGTAGATTATTATCCTCGAAGGGAGATGCTTGTCGTTGACATCGCGAAATTTGTCGAGGGCTTTAGAGAGATTTGTCATTAGACAAGATGTTTTCTGGCCCTCTGTCTCGTAGCAACTACTCAGGGTGACATAATTCGTAAGATTTTTATCAAGAGTGGCAACGAGAGAGAGATAATTCCTGTCTTTATGAATTTTGTCCTGGCACACGTCCACCCCAACAATCATGAGTCTCTCCAGAGGCATGTAAATGGTCCAGGGTATACCTCCCATTTTGCAGTTGAGTTGAACAGCCACTTTGACGGCAAAATCATTCTGCTGATCTGACGAGAAACATCCATCGGTGATGACTTGACAGGGAACTGAGTACTCCTCGTAGCACTTCTTCATTATGGCAGGGTAGATGTAAGGATGACGTCCTGGAGTTATTACCATCACAGCTCTTGGCTCATAATCAAAAATTGCTCGATCAAGGGCTGAACTGTAGCCCTCAGCTGACAGATCTGTCACCTCGAGCCAACGAGGCTGTGAAAGGTGAAAATTACGAGCGTTCTCCAGGACTTTCCCTACGAATTTTTCTGTTTCCATTCTGTAGACTGACGGCGTCACGACAATCCAATTCTGGAGTTCTTTCGTGTGAAAAAAATTTTTCTCGTTATATGCGAGTCCCCAGGTGCCTTCGACGTCGACGTCCACCTCGCAGTCATTCCCAAAGATCAATTTCTGCGGTGGGAGAACCCGTCCTGACACCTCGAACAGTTTTGAATCCAGCAGCATATTCCAATTTTCAAACTGCCTCTGGAGTGTGGGAGATCTCAGCAAACGGAGATTAAAATCCATGAGCCTCTCGATGCGTCTCTGAGGCGTCACGAGGTTTTGAGCTGCGATCCACGATTTTACGTCTCCCTCATTTTTCAACGACGAAACTAATCCTGTAATGGCACAGACTTCAGGTATCAAGAAACATTTTTCGATCTTGCCACGACCTGAACGTGGAGTGTCATCCACAACCAGCATCGGTTGTGAAGTCGATCGAATGGTTACACCCCATTTCTCTTTAAAAAACTCCTTGTACGTCATGTTGCCTCGTTGGGCAGCCACTGGAAGTATCGAGAGTGGATTATGAGAGAAGGCAACATCCTCAACTCGATACATCTTATTGTCATACAGTGTCCAGACTGACAGACCGATGACTTCGTCTCTGAATGCTTCCTGGTAGTCAGGCCCATGATCCTCAATGGTGCGTTCCAGAAGATCCAGTACAGACATACGAGAGAGAACTTTTTGGGTGACATCCACACCGATGAGGACATCCTCATGAAATTTGTTGACAGCAGTCATGTACCCAGGGCACACCTCCAACGTGTGGTTCTCGATTCTTCCAGGGGACTCCAGGTCATAGTAACATTTGCCAATCATTTTGAATTTTAATTCCTCCAGAGATCTCTTCAGCAGGATCTCGTATATTCTCAGGTGACGAGGCTCTTGAGGCTGGAGTTCATTGACAAACTCCAGATAGACGTGATTTGCAGCATCAGTCAGGGGTAATTCCAGAGGTGGTTTCTTGGTGCAGTACAGAGAGTACCATTCCAAGATGTAAGGCCCAATGATCTCAAAATTAGATTTAATCAACTCTTGGATATTGGTGGGTCGATCCCCTTCGAATCTGATTTTGTATTTATACAAATACTTGTCCAGTTGACAGGAAACCTTGAAATAGTTCGTCCTCAGTCTCACTGGGTCCCCCTTTTTATCCTCAGGATCTTCCTCCAGGACTTGCTCATTCACGTACAGATGTTCTTCGTCACTCTCACATTCTGAATCGCTGTTCCACTGATTTTCACTTAGAAAAAACGAGTGCTCCCAAGGAGTGTCGTCACAATTATCCAAAGGATTATCAATGCCCCAAGGCTGTTGATCCTTTTTATACTCTGGAATGTTCATTGTCTGTGAATATTGTCTATTTTTAAATACGAATGCCTCATCGGACTCGCATTCAACAGAATCCTCCATTTTTCTGATTGCACAAAAAAATTTTATTCTGCCAAAGACTACGATGAATTCACTCGATTTTTGTAATCCTTATTTGTTTCTTAAGTCTTTCAAGGTATTTGTTTTATTTTTAAAACACTGACTTTGGTCGAATCACAAATTAATAAATTAATTATATGGAATAATATCCGGACGACCTTCACACATCAGAAGTTCGCGAACGAGTGACTCTGGAATGTAAACAAGACTCGAGAGTGAACGATATCCCCTCCCCCTTTCACAAAAAAAAAATACAACAAAAGAAAATGCACAATCTCAAAAAAGAGAAATTAATTATCTCAAGAGAAAGCGGCAATTCAAATTATTGCACAATGAAAATATTTAGATATTTGTTTTCACTGTTTTCCACCCTCAACCCCCCCAAAATTACGACTCCTTCCCTCCCCCAAAATTTCAAGACAAAGGATTTCAAAAAAATAATGATGGGGGGAGGGAAAAATGAATGATTGAGGGTGTGAATAATCCATGAAAAATAATCAATGCTAATTGTTTTATTTTTGAATTTCAATGACAAATTAATCGAGAGCTAGTTAAAAATTGCTATTGTTGTCGTATTGAGGGTAAATCGGGGTAGAAAGACATATGTCCACGAGGCTGGTTAATGACATGTCGGAAAATAATTGGAAATTTTTTTAGTGTGTTATCTCCCCATCGGACTCGATGATGATGATGGGATCACCTTCCTTTCCCTCTTCAAATATTCTCAGTATACTATGGAGAGGTCCATCTTGAGTACCCGGTGGTATTTTGTCATCGGGGAATGTGTAATCTCTTATTTCCAAATTATCGCCCTGGAAAAAATTTTCAATTCAATGATTAACTCAGGATTTATTCCATTCGTGTCACTTTTATTTTAAATTAAGTTGGAGTTCAATTAATTTATCGATAATTAGGACTGACTTGAATAAATAAATAAAATGCAAGGAATAGAAATAAATTGGGTGGAATTATTGACGAAATCTTACCGCGTAAATCGGGCATTCTTTCGGAAATTGACCATCAGGTGCCCCATGTTCAGTAATATCTTTGCCAATTGAGTCATCATCGAAGGCCTCACATAATGACATCTCCACTTCCGGTAAGTCATCGCCGTCCAAAGTCATTTCCAGCTTGAACTGAATTTCCATAGCAAATAATTCAGTCGCGAGAAGACAAAAATGCATTCGACCGATTTTCAACTCCAGTTTTCAGGGAATATCTCTGAATCCAAGAGAGATACCGAATTTTCAGTTAAAACATCTTACATCAATTGAAATACCAGCTACAAAAAAGGTTTTCACGAAAATTCTGTATGTCTTTCGGATTCTGAAATATCCCTCGAACCCTCTCCTACTGTCTAAAACGACTTGGACTTTGTAATAAACAAATGTAAAAATAGTTGATAGAAAAAAACGTACTCTTATGCTGTCCGGGAGTTCCTGTTTAACAGGCATTTTCAGCGATAGTTTTTGCCCAGAAGAATGAAGCTGCGCCTCCCATTTCCCGAAGAAAGGATTGTCCCCAGTGATATGAGTTACCTCAACCCTATTCATTATGATTTTTTGATCGCCCTATAAAAAATAACAGGGAATCAGATAAAAATTAATTCCAAAGGGATAAATAATGCAATAATTTTTTCTTTGAAAAAAAAAATTACAACTTACATCTCCATGGACCACCCCAATCCCAAGGCTGATGATAAACAGAGCAAAGTAAATGGGCGTCATTTTGCAATGAATTGCACTAAAGATATGATAAACTTTATTAACGGACTGGATGAAACTGATTATTTTTCATTCGACTCCACATTTATATCGAATCCTCGATTATCCCATGCCCTCTGCTCGTTTTATTTCATTTATATAATGAAACACACGCAATTACCTCCCGATTGCGTGTGATTAATTCATAATGATTGTCATCATTGTTTCTGGAGATTGAGCATGACACCGGAAGTGGATAATTGATTGAATAAAAAAGAGAATACAATATTCAGCTTGAAATGATGAGAAAATTTCAAGTTGATTAAAAAAATTTTTTAAGACATAAAAATGGCTGTAGAAAAATATCTAAAAAAACTTCGTCAAAAAGCGGATATGTTTTTATTGAATAAATTAAAAAGCAACATCAATATTTCGCGTAAAGTATAAAAATCGGTTGTTTTATCAAAATTTTCGGCACAATTGGTAGAATTTTTTTACTGAATTTTTGGAAATACTATATCAGAATTTTCTAGAGGGTTTCTCTAGGGTTTCAATGATAGTTCCTGGAGTCCTTCTTCTTCTTCGACTGGTATTGGCAGAGTTGTCGATTCGAAATTATTTTCCGTTGCCTCAACCACCTCTATGTAGACGTTCCTCGCTTGGGTCCCATTTGGGGCTGGTGGGACTACCTCCTTGTTGATGATTATCTCAAAGACTTTCTTTCCAAAATTGAAAGGCAATTTGATAAGTTTCTTTTTATTGTCTATCGACTGCGCAGCATGATTGTATATGGCTTCTCCAAAGTCTACGACAGACTCAAGTTTATCGCTGATGAGTGTATTCTTTTCTTTCAGCGATTCCAAAGCAGCTTCTCCAATTTTTTTAAAGAAATTGGGATCCTTGTGGATGGTCGGAACCTGTGGGAAAAAAAACAAATTGCCAAATTGCAAGTTGAAGCTCAACATTATAATTATTGAATTATTGTTAAACGATTATTGGTAATGATACGATGAAAGAATTATTGCATTTTCTATTATAATATTTTTACAAGAAAAGTGAAGCGACAGTCAAAGAATTTTTGACAAAAAAAAATCGGGGTGAAGAGATTATTTATAAAAATTCAAACTTTTGTTAAACGTACCTGGATGTTGTGGAATGGTGAAGCCTGCACCAGAGTGTAAGTTATAAGTACAACGCACAAGATTTTCAACATTTTTTGGCTTTTCTGAGATCTTCTGTTCAGTAGATATCCGTTAACTGATGAATGACAGAATCATCTTCCCTATTTATATGAAAATTCTATGACTTTTAGGGACTCTAGGGACATTTAAGTAAACATTTGCAGCCGCATTCGTGACCAAATGGGGAGCATTCCACTTTTTTGTGTATGCGTTTAAGTAGATTATTTCAATTAGGGCATCTTAGTGGGTTGAGATGGGCGCAACATTCATTTTATTTTATTTGACTAGTCATTAAATCGTATTGTTCACCTACGATAAGCGGCTATGAACTATTTTTTTTCTACTATCCGACAAATGAAAAACCTTGACGGCTTTAATCAAATATGTGGCTACGATCTCATATTTTTCGTGGGTGTAAACACCCAAAAGTGTTTCACAGCTGTCACTTCTGGTATTTTATATTCGTTACATAATCTTCCGCCATTGTTCGATGTTATCATGCGATAATACAGTGATAAATCATCCTGTCACTTCCAAAATAAATCCAACAAATATCTATGAAAACTATTTCCATGAATAATTTACGATTTCATTCAGAAAAAAAATTACGTAAGGAAAGGTTGCAATTGAAACAGCATTTAAAAAAAAATAATATTTCATTTATTTATCCACAAGGAGTTATGAATATTAAAAAATATATAACATGAATTGTTCACAGCTTCAAGTCGAATGGTGAGAGATTAGACAGTGAATTCAGCGATGGCAATGGGTTCTTCAATATTTTCGAAATCGATGACAATTTCTGGAGTAAAGTCCCGAAGCTGATTAAACCCACCGATACGAGCTGTAACACATGATGCAGAAAGTCTGGCCTCCGCCTCATGATCCCAGCACTCCTCGATGGTATCACACATGGATTGGAATCCAGGGTGCTTTCGCCAAGTCTCTGGAATCGCCGGACGAACTCTCTTGCGCACAACGTGGTCCTGCATTTCCTCCAGCGTTGGGTGCATGCCAATTTCCTCTTGAAACGGCAATTTGTACTCTCCAACAGGGCCTTCCTGAGCAGTGCACCTCGACATCAACTCCCAGAGGACTAGACCAAACGCGTACATGTCGATTCGGAGGAATGAGTCCCGATTGAAATTAATGGCACCCTCCAGGACTTCTGGTGCCATGTACCTGTGTGTGCCGACCTGAGAAAAAAAATAGAGGAATGATCAGTCACTTCACTGAAGAAACCAGAAGAAAAATTATAATTAAAGGTACTCACTTGTGCATGTGCATCTCCGCAGGGTTTATCAGGATGAAAAACGAGTGTCAACCCAAAGTCAGCGATGCAGGCGGTCATATCAGACTTGAGGAGAATATTCTTCGACTTAATATCGCGATGGGCAATTGCTGGCTTATGTCCATGAATCTTGTCCCCTGGTATCTCCTCGTGCAGGTGCATCAATCCCCTGCCCATTGACTCCGCGATTCTGCACACCTGAGTCCAGGTAATGACATGGGTCTTGAGATAATCGTACAGAGAGCCCCATTCATGGTACGCAGTGACCAGCCAGAATTCCGATTTCAAGTCGTTCTCCTTCTTCTCTGAGCCAATGAATTGCAGAATATCATCGTGATTCATGCGGGGTAATTTGAAGATGTCCTGTTCCATCTGCCACGACTGTCTGCACTCACTCGGAAAAATTTTAACCGCCACCAAGTCATTCTTGAACTCTGCCTTCCAAACGCATCCAAATTTACCCCTTGCCTTCACCTCCACCAGTTTTATTAATTGTAAATCGAAATTCGGTTGAGATTGATCTGGTGGAATGGCTTCCAGCGGTGATGGGTGGAAGTAATCACCAAGTTTGGTACTTTTGCAGCCAAAGCACCGGGCCAGAATCACAATAATCATGATAAAAATACCAGACGAGATAGTCATCATCAAGATAAAAAAATGTTGATCTGAATCGACATCGGAATCAGAATGTCGGATATATTTTTGATCAGGATTGAGCCCTGACTCTGAGTCTTCCTTAGGGATAATTAATTTACCCAATGGCTTTGGATCCCAATTGTAATTTCTATTGCACATGTCACCGTCACAGCAGCAGAAGAGCATCTGCTTTTTCCTGTTGACGTTGTTCTCCACGCACTCGATTTTGTTGTAGCACTCCTGGTTGTTGTAAAAACAACCCTTCATTTTTAATATTGAAGTGTTGGTGACGTTGTTGTGCTGCCACAGGACATAGCAGTGATTTCTTTTTCCAATAGGTGGTGGCGGACATTCTTCACGGTATGTGCAGTCCTCTTTCGATTCAGCGCAGAGGGTTGCGTTGTAAAATTCACAGATTGTCGCACCTTTCACATCTTGACTGAAAACCATTCCAGATGATGAGGACAATACGAAAAAAATGGGCAACAGGGTGCCCAGAAAAATAGCCATTGATAATAACCAAAGGAAAAATTTGCAACTGACTGTCTTGATGTTTGCAGTTTAAATTCTAAACTGATTATGAATGACCAGGAGAACTCGATCATTTGGAATTATGGGGGGGTTGTCGGCCTCAGGATTGGAAGGGTGGGGGTGTGACGTACAGTAAAAGGGTGGGTCCAGTGGTGTTTGGAGTCCGAGGGCCCTAAACTACGAAACCAATCAAAGAATCCATTCCTAGAGGAGAATTGACACTCGTCTCGACGATAGTGAGCGGACAAAGCCGTCGGGGAAGGAAGAACATGAAGACCTGAAATTTTATTGGGGGGAACTGGCGCCCTTATTGTATTGCAGGTACTTTCTGTCCCGTCGGAGAAAGTAATTAAATGCCTTCGGAGAATTGCGGGCTGCGGCGACAACGGATTTGCAGTGAAAACCCACGAAATCACTCCAGGTCAATTTTCTCATAATTTTCGTGGAAAAACCAGAGGGTTCAATGGATAATCGCCTTTTGCAATATACTTCTTAATATTCTCGGCGCCAAATAATCCAAGAATATTTCAATAATTTTTTTTCCCAGTGCAAGGAAATAATTAAATGATGGGAGAAATGAGGGATAATTTAAAAAAATTATTAATTTGATTTTCATTTATTGTTATTTTTATTTAAATGATGAATAAATTATTATTTTTCATTTTACACAGATGTCATCAATCCTCAAAATAAATTCTACAATTAATATTAATTTTTACATCGAAAACAGATTTTTTTTGTCGTCAGATCCTGAACATTTTTTAACGGAGAAGTGATTAATTTTAGCGTGCGAAGTCCACACATATTTTTCGGCTTTACTCGCTTTAAAGCAAAGATCTACCCATTGAGCTTTTAGATTCCTGAACGCGAATGGTTCAATGTGGATGATACCATTACGACGTAAATCCAATACGAGGTAAATACGGAGATCAGCGAACACGTCATTTTTCAAAATATGAAGCTTATTGCCCATCAAATCGAGGGCTTGAAGTTTCAGACCGGCAAATGCTTTCGGTTCAATGTCATGTATTTCGTTGAACTCCAAACTCACTGTCGCCAATTTCATAAATTCGAAAACATGACGGGATATGATATTTATTCTGTTATAACTGAGATCCAATTCCTTCACCCGTGGAAGATTTTTAAAGATTCCAGGAGGCAGATGAGTCAGTTTATTGTGCGCCAGGTGCAGATATCGAATGTTCAATCCAACGAACGTGAAAAATTTCAGTTCAGTTATTCGATTTTCGGATAATCGAAGAAACGTCAAATTCTTCAGTCCACGAAAAATTTGTTCACCTAATGCTTCAATACTATTATTCCACAGATCCAGGTATTTCAACTCACGAAGACCGTCAAAGACTCCGTCCCGTAAATGATTAATCTGCCCTCCATTCATAATAAGATCAGTCAACCTGTCGAATTTAATGAAAGATTGTGGCTCAATATTCCCGATATTATCCCTTATCTTCAGTCTTCTAATTCCTGTCGGAATCGTTGAAAGTGTATCACGATTAATAGTTGAAATGCTGCAGTCAATTAATTTCACATCATGAAGAATTATGAGCTCCTTAAAAAATGTGGGAGACAGTGACGTAAAGTTGATATTTCGTAACCGCAATAGCCAAAGGCCGGACAAATATTTAAAAAAATTAGCTTCCACTGGAAATTCCAGACCGTTGAGCTCCAGGGTACGTACCCCGTGCAGACCGCTAAACGATTTTGTTGTTAAATTAATGAATTTAGGATGGCAAGGGTGTCCTTTTGTCATGCCTGATAACATTAATCTATCAAGATGTACCTCTTTGAATGCATATGGAGCTATGGCATTGATTCCGCTCACATTCAGGTTGTGACTCCATATACTCCTGCGAAGTTTTGTGATGGAAGTTATGACACCGGCTTTGGTGCAAATTTTTAGACCACCACCATGAATTTTCTTGCAATGTTTCACCGTGCCTGCGCTAATTACGATAATTGCAGCAAAAATAACGATCACGAGGAAATTCTTCATACTTTAAATGTTCCCTTATTATTACTGATTATAAATCGAGCTCTGACTACAGCCTAATCAGATTCAATGGTGACTGAATACGGAATTTTCATTATCAGTGGTTTATAAATTATTGGTTTTATCGATTGATCGCGGTGTGAGGGGAAAATATTTGCCAAGTCAATTGGAAATATCTACGACACCATCTGGAATCTGGCATTGAACCACCTACTTGTCCTTCATTTTTCCACGTCTTAATTATGATTGCGCCATTCTGATATTTTCAATGAAATTAGAATTTGTTATTAGAGGAAAAAAATCGACAAAAGAGATAAATTCTTCAATCTTTATCAATCATTGTTTGAGTAATGAGTAATATTTAATTTTTAAAATACAGTAACAACAATCATGACATTAATAATAACTGGAAATCGGCAATAGCAAAGAATAAAAGAGATAGAGCACGGATTTCTGGAGACATCAACGCATTTTCTCAATCACAGGCAATGCATGCCTTATCTTTCGTCATGATTGCGTTTCATATGGATTATAAATTCCAAGACAAATTATTTCATTCAAAAATATATTTTCATAAAATAGCGTACATGTGTTCCGTTGCACTCGATGAAAATGTATTTTTCAAACAATTCATTTATTCATTAAACTCAACATTTTTTTTATAATAAAACAATTTTCTCATCGGAATTAAATGCACACGAACATATTAAATAATTCAAACATGTATTGAAATATTGAATTTTACTTGTAATCTAATATGTCAATGAATGTCTCATGTTTGATCTATGGTTTTGGCCTAGTCGATGTCCAGAGTTCATAGATAGCCAAGGGTCTAGTTGATGCAGATTAAATTCGTCATCGTCTACTTGACCTCCAGGAAATTCTCCTTGGTCTTCAAAAAATTCTCGTTGCCCCAGTGGACGTCGAATCATTCCCTGGTGACCCAATTTCCATAGTGCGTCCTCTAATTGATCGTCAAACAATTCTTCTGAATTCAGTTGATGTCCAAGTAGTCCCCGATGCCTTTGTTGACCCATCTTATATCCGTCACCAAGACCATCAAATTCCGTTCCCTCAAATGGATCAAGAGCAGCTTGTTGCTTCGTAAATATTGGATTCCTAACAGATTCCCACGTTTTTACGGAATCTTGAAAACCATGAGCAGTACTATCCGAACACTTGTTGTACATTATTTCTACAATTGCGCCTTTAGTCGTCGCCCAAATCTCAAAGATTTTTGTTCTATCGGGGTGACAGAGTTTCAGGAGTTTAGCTAATAATCCCCTAAAAGCTTGGGGCCGAATTTCCACGATGTTCATCGGGCTGAGATCCAAAATTTCAGAAATACGGAGATTGAAGAAGGCGTAATTTCCCAGGACTTTGATGGGGTTGAACTGAAGATTGAGTGACTGGAGATTTAAACCATAAAAAGCTGCTGGCTCAATCAGACTAATTTTATTATGGGACAAGTCGAGATTCCGAAGACGTATCTGGTCGGGGAAAAATTGAGTGGGAATGCTCATTATTTGGTTGTTACTGAGATTCAATTTTTCCAGGTGTTGGAGGTCTGAGAAAACCTGGGGCGGCAGCAGTCGTAGCTGATTAAATGACAAATCGAGGAACTGGAGATTAAGATTGAAGAACACATGAGGCTCTAATGTGCTGAGAGCATTCCCATGCAAATCAAGAGTTCTCAGTCGCGGTAATTGAAAAATGTTTCTGGATAAAGTAGTGATTCCGTTGCTCGATAGATCCAGATACTGCAATTGATTGAGACCAGTGAAAATTCCAGGAGACAGCTGAGTTAATTGACTTCCATTCAGCTGTAGAATTTCCAATTTCGGAAATTTGGCAAAAGACTTTGCTTTGATATCCCTTATGGCATCCGTAATTCGGAGCTTTAAGAGGGTTTCAGAGACTCCCTTAAATGTCTCTGGAGAAATCACTAGGGTGTTGGTGTTTATTAATTCCAGTCCTTCGAGTTTTGGAAAGCTCATAAAAAATGCGGGATTAAAATTTAGAAGATTCACGCGACTCAGGCGAAGATGCCAGAGAGATTCGAGGTATTTCATTGGATTTTCACTGCCGGTTTTTAATGATCCTTCTGAGAAATGCACACCATCGAGCTTGAGGCTCCGCACATCATTCAAACCGATGAATGATTTCTTGTTCAAACTGATGACCCGTGGGCTGGAGTCGTTCGTCATCCAGTAATTTAACAGCTCTAGAGTATTAATTGCCAGCTCATCGAAGGTGTAAGAAGCTATCGAGTTGAAACTACTTGCGTTCAATTTGAGTTGCTTATCGTGATTTCCAGTCGAATTGACGTGCACTAATCTATCGCGATTTGTGCAGATTTTGAATGCACCATTCTGGATGCAATTCTCATCTCTCGTCGAATTGGTCATCAAGTACATCAAAACTGGAATACACTGTGTCACGTTTTTCATTTTTGCACTCAACTTTACGCATTCAATTAATTAATCGACGTAATTATTAATTTGGTTTTTTCAAAACGAGGCCTTCTCAAGCACTGGGTCAATTGCACGTTAATGAAGTTCAAGTTGATGGAATATAATAATTTCACTTGGCATCAATCTTATATACTGCACGGCTGATAATTATCGAACATGATTTTATGTTTTTGTTTATTAATCAGTCGTAACGCTGCGCTATCAATCTGCCAATCGGATTTTCAGCACGAAGAATGAGTTTAGGGAGCATTACGTGACTTAATTCCGAGGGAGTTATTATTTTTATGGTTAAAATCGTTAAAAATTGTGTGGACAAGATAAATGTTTTGTTTTATTTCCGTGCGTTTTGCTGAGGTATACTTTTGGGGAATAATTATTGCGAGGTACCCGCGGAAGTTGTACTTTTTTTTCCTTGAAGGGAAATAATTTTCATTTCCATTTGGATTTAGAATAAATATTTCCAATTGAAAAGAGTTTTTTTTAATTACGCAGGAAATATTTCGCTGATGATTTCGAGCGCGATATGATTATAATGGAAATTGCGTACAGTGGAAAAAGGCACGTACGCAATTTTCATCAAACCGACGTTATGTTTCACGATTACTTCGGGACGTGACTCTCAAGCTGTTCCCTGCACTCTCCACTGGATTCTCCATCAATTGATAAATTTCGAATGCTTGCACGAGTTTATCTATAAGCTAATTAATTGACAAAATAAAAAAATATTTAATAATATTTAATACCTTTTCTTGTACTTTTCATATGTTTTGAAATTAATTCCAAAGGCACAAGATAAGGAATTGATCTTGGCAATAACTCAACGCACATCGAAATACAATATAAATGATAGTTTATTCGTAATAAAAATGTTAATAATCTATGAATAGTGTTTGAATAAGTACAAAGAGAATGGTCATTGTATAAGTCCCTAGTCATTTGAATTTCTCTATGAAAAAAAAAAATAAAGAAAACCTTCGAACGTCACAGGTGATGCGTAGAATTATTCCGTTTGAAAAAATCTTTTGTCGACAGTGAGGGACAATAATATCAAGTATGTATAACTAACAATCGGTTGCCAAACAATAAATTACTTATACATAAACTCAATAATTAATCGAACGGAGTTCACGCAATAACTAGAAACGCAGGTGTGCGAGATCAACGGAGAAATAACGACAATTAAGGCAGTATAAATAACCATTCTTCCCACATGTACCGAAACGACGAGTGATACTCTTAAAAAACTAGGAAATCTTACAAAATAACTTACAACGATTTTTGGACGGATTAGGGCTGACTTTATCCTAAGAATGCCAGTGTAAACAATAATTATAATTGGAAGTATCTATAAACCGAGGAACACGTGATACTCATGCTATATTTATCATTTCATTAAATTCATAACATCTCATTAACCTAATCATTTATACTCGCTAATTCTCACACGAGTTTTCTATATCACAAATCAAATGTTGCGCTAATAATATTCCCCCATGAGAGTCTGGCAGTGTTCATCCCTCAAAATCATAATCTCAAATCAACAAAACGGGGAATAACAATATTAATTATTCACTCCAGAGTCACTAATCATTCACATGCACAAAAACTCTTGATCATTCAAAACAAATCAATATGATAAAATACGTAATTATGTCATGCTTATATACATATCGAAAATATCACGTACGAAAAAATTCAGTAGTGAGAAATAATTTTTCTCCATTTAGTTTTTTTCTATAGAATTTCTTCATTCGTAATAATGCGGTGACCAATAAGTCATAAATAACTCAATCTCAATAACATTTCATTTGTACTTTTGCACGGTGAAGCCCCCAGACTACATGGCCGTCTCCAGTGGCTGGCTTTTGCTTCTAGCCTCAGCTGAGAGTTGCGTCAGCTCCGTCGGTTCATTGGGAAGAAAGACATCGAAATTTGTTTCTAAAAGTGCTTCGCTCTTTGATCGAAGTGGTTTCTCCTCGCCAGTGTCAAGATTTGTTTCCAAAAGAGTTCCACTTCGTGGCCTCTCCTGGTAATAAAATGGTTGTGGTGGCAGTGGTGGACTGAAATACTCAGGAACAGGTTCAGAACCCGGAGTCTGTGCCCCATCATACGTGAATTCAACTGGAGAATATGGTGCTGTCTCGATATCACGTTTCAATTCTGTTATGGAATCTGTCATAGCGAGGGATGCATTCAGGGGTAGAGTCGATGCATTGTAATTGGGCTCGTCGATTGGATCTGTTGGTGAATCACCAGGTGCCAGTTCACTGTTGGCTACCGATGGCCAGTTGCTGTTGTTTCGAGAGGTGAAGGTTGAATGATTACGAAATCCCTCGTTTCTGTATGCCAAGTCGAACACTGGGGTTTCCACGTGGGGTACTGCGTATTTTTGAGCTCCTTTGAAATCACTTGTGCTGGGGGAATACCGGGGGTTGTGCGCTTCGTATACGTCATAGGATTGATTGTCCTCCATTGATGAATTCAATTGAGACTTGTCCATCGAGTCTATGCTACCGCCATTCATCATTTTTTTGTAATCCAGAGAGCGAGAGGTGAGGGTGTCAGTTGATTTCGACTGTGGAGAGCAAAAAGTTCGAGTTTTTTTTATTCAGAGAAGTGGAATGTATGAAACGAGATATTTCCACGGTGGAACACAATAAACGACAAGAAATAATGTATCCACAAATGTTTATAATCTCTAACCTTCGTCGGGGGCACCAGTATTACTCTTTTTTCCGGTTTTTGTGGCTGCGTGAAAATTATCATCGGATTGAGTTCTCAAAAAATTTTTAACGACACAAATAATTGATAGAAAATTTTGCATCAATATCTTATCATCGAAATTCGATGAGGTGAATTTACAATGAAGCTATAATAATTTTAAAAAATAAAAAAATGGAATAAAAACTTACAGGAACGGGTTTTCGCCTATAAGCGAGTTCCGTAAATCCAGAAGTAGATCCCACAGATCTCAACGAGTGCAATGACTGCCTGATGGAGTTACGCCTCTCCAATCTCTCAATTTTCCGCCTCTTGGACTTTGAAATCCAGAATCCAATTGCAGCAGCCAAAAGAGCGAGAGCCGCTCCAATTGCGCCCAAAACCCCTACAGCAACGATATCACGTCTCCAGGACAATGGATCAATGTACACTCTGGGGTCTATCTCGCAAATGAAGGGGCTCGGCTGACTGCAATGATCAATTTCAATAGTCTGATAGGTGAATGTGGTGCACTGGTCGATACGCTCCAGCTGCTGCACCCAGACACGCTCTGAATACTCGAAACGTTCCTGCTGACGTCTCAAAAATCTCCAGAGCTGGAGATAATCACCCATAATGAAGGGCATCGAGGCATTTGCCTGCCTACAGAATTGACGAGCGCTGAAGAAGTCCATTGGTGCACCGATGTAGATGTAACACGTATCGCCGACCAAATCCCAGGCTGGGGGGCACTTTCCACTGAGGACTGACTCATTGTTCATGTGAAATGGTGTGAAATCCACCTGGAGGAGCTCTGGTGAGTCGCTCCTGTCACGAATTCTTCCAGCAACCGCTGTTGTCTCGTTGTAGCCCCACCAGTTATGTCTCGCATCCACGTGAGATCTCCAGACTTCCAGTTGACTGCATCCGAGATTTAAGAGATTCATTTTATTTTTTTTCCGATCAAGGAATATCGAGGGAGTGTGAGCAAAATGGAGGTTTTTTTTTAGGATTTAGGGGTTTCTGGAATTCGATGTAATTGATATTCTCGGAATTTTATTCTTTTGGAAATCCCACTAAATGCACCAGAATAATGGATGACTCAAATGGGTGGATCCATTTTGTTACACACTCCACCATGAAAAAGCGAGCAATCAGGGACTATTGTTTAACTACAAAGCCAGCGTTTTACGCAGAATGAGGACTAAGCGAACTACGTAGCCAGAATAACGAAAAAATAACAGATATTCCAAGGCTACTTACTTATCGTACCACTCCTTGCCGACAACTCTGGTTTATAAAATCATGCACATGCGTTTTTCATAGTATGAAATGAGAAAAACCAAATGAATGAGGAATCACCTAAATACTGGGTATAATTGCCAATGGGTTTTAAAATACGTACAGTGAACGATTGATTGTTAAAATCTCGTAGTCATTGTCAGGATTGAAGAATACGTTGTCCACGTACTGTTGTCCAGGAGTTCCAGCAACGATTGTACTTCTTCCTTGTCGATCAATTGCATAATTTTTATAAAATCCATTATGCGAAGTGCTCTGATAAATCGGCAGCCTGACACGTTCGAATCCACAGATCTCTAGCAGATGAAGCCCCAGATTGGCGTGCAAATAATTAAGTGTCATATTGCTGACAACCTGTCTGAGAACGATATTGCTCTGATAAGGCGCCTCATTCTTGACGAAATAATTCCTGAAAATTGTGACCTCCTGATAAGGACTGCTCTGCCTGCCCTCGACGTACAATGCCGGTTTGTTCCAATTATCAGCGAACAAATTATTATGAATCCAGCCTTTCAACGACGTAGCGGAGCCCCTGGAGTCAGCCCTCACGGAGAGACCCCCATGATTCCCCCTGACGAGATTATTCCTGAAGAATAATGACTGAGTGTTCTGGATATCCAGGACAACAGCGGACTTGCAAGTTGAAAAATTTCCATAAAGCTTCTGGCAATTATCAATAAATTGATTTTTTTCCAGAGTCATGATGGCATTGACTTCACCAGCACTGGCATACTTGACAGCTCCCTCCTGACACTTCGACATGATAGAGAACGAAACATTATGCTGAACATCTCGATTAAATCCAATAGCTGAAATCGGAAGAGTCACGACTTCAGCGATAAATCCATGAACCCCACTGGCACCATTCGCGAATAATCTGACACTGAGACTTGGGCCCTCAGTCCTGAATAATTTCTTCTCATCTCTGCTGTTGAACTCAAGCTCTCCAATGGTCTTGGCAGTGACATTATAAATATCGCCATCATAAAGAGTGATGGCATCGTGTCGCCCCGGATTATTCGTTGAATTAAACAGATTAAATTGCAGAAGTCTGAAGCCAAAGGGTTTTGCCCTGTAGGCACTCCTGAAGATTTTGACACAATTCACAGGATTGTTATCATATTTGTAATAAATTAGTACGCGTTCCTCGATGGTGACCTCCTTGGTCGTGTCACATATGTCCACCAGGCTGAACAAATGGTAGGGGATATTGAGATCCTTGAGGGGAGTGAAAGAGCTCTCTTCAGCCTCTCGACCCTCACCCGTCAGCGAGACAATATTCACACCATTCCCAAGGGCATTGTCAATTATATTAAACAGCAGTTCAACCGTGTGAGTTGGTGACACAAGATTAATCCCATGATAAGCGGACTTGAGGATCTCCACGTGAGAGACTATTGGGCTCTTCATCACAGACTGAACAGCCGGTGATTTTTCATTATGAAGAATTCCTGCGCCACTTATATTGACGTATCTCAGGGCTGATTCAACCCTGCGCACTGTCTCGTGTGTCTGGACGTCGTGGATCCTGTGCTCATAGAGATGATGCTCAAATTCGCTGTTAGCTATTCTAATTCCACCCCAGTAATCCTTGGAGTCATCCAAATTTCTAGTTCCACAATTGAGAAAAACGTAATCACCGTCCCAGGGGCAGTTGTACTTGTGACCATAAAGCTGTCCGTTCAATCGGATTTGGCAGTCCTCGAGGCGTTCTTCACTGCCAGTGCACTGGATTGGTTCAGGCCATGACCAGATTCTTGCCAGTGAACCTGGATGCAGCTCATATCTGCGACCATGGGACACATAAATATTCAGGGGATCGTGTCCCAGTTGACGACAGGCAACCTGTGCATTTCTCTCTGTGAAACGACGATCGCAGAGGGGAATCCATTGGAGTGTTGTGCGATTGAAGAATTCAATGAAACCCTCGCTGTTGGACGAGGTACAATTGCCTTCTTTACACAAACGAATCGTTCCCTCTGGTGCATTGTCTCTCTTAGCGATGGGTTTTGGCAGGACATCCTGTGTCACTTCTCGTCTCATCGGTCGCATTATTATCTCGTGTCCTGGTGCACCAACAGCCTTCAGAGTCCCAAGCACAAGAATTCCAACGTTCGGTGCAAATTCCATGACAACATCCGGATAAATATTCACTGTTGTCTCTGGCATAATTGTGATGTCCGATCTGATGATGTAAGGAGCTGGACGATAATACAGGGATAAATTCTCGGTTATTCTGCCACCGATGTTGTCAAGATCAATTGCAGATCTCAACTCCCAGGAGGCCGATATCGATGCGTCAAATGATTCACCGGTTAGGTAAGGCCGAAAATTGGCAACAGCGTGATTATTCCAGTCATCAAAATCGAAAATTCTTTTCTTGATCTGACCCTCGTCAGACGTTCCCCACCAGTTCTCAGTGACATCGACTTCATTATTGATTTTAGCTGTTCGAATGCCGGCGACTAGATCATAATTCATAGGATTATCAGCGAATAAATTGCGATTGACCTTGACCTTCTGAATTCCCTGAAAGCCAACGACATACGTTGGTTTATCAAACATCTGGTGAATGCCTCTGGTGACAGCTCCATGAGAGTTCTCTCTTATTTTATTCAGATAGAAACGCGCTGGGATCTCCCCAAGGATCTCAGATTGGCTGTCAGCCCTGAACTCCACCATAAATGATCCAGTGTTCTTCTCGATGACGTTGTTATCGATTCTCAATCGTTTCTCCATTCCCCGGATGGACATCAATCCGTCTTTACAGCGATTACCTACGTATCTGTTGAAGGAGACATTGACATTTGCATAGTGTCCATCAACGATGAATCCAAAATTACTGTTATCCCTCCAGGTATTATTACCAAAATACAGGGAGTGAGTGAAGTTCTCGTTGTACTGCCAGACATAGGGTAGAGCGACCTCGAAGCCTCCACCCTGATTTCTCTCAATCGAGCTGTCCTGCATGATCCAGTGGAACAGATTATTCGACTGTCTCATATCACGACTGTATTGCAAGATGCCCCGGCCATTATCCGTTATCAGAGTGTTATTAACGTGAATTGAAATCTCTGAGATATTTGATGTGTAGATGTTCCAGTGGGGAGAGAGTACGTGAATAGCTTCCTCCAAATTATGGGAGATTTCGGTGTTGATGAGGCGAATGGACTCGTTGGCTTTCCTCAGGAAATGATTACCAAATTCGTCGAGATATCGATTGTAATAAGACGCTGATATTCCTCTTCTGTTTCCCTTGATCTTCGATCGAGATATGAAGAGGGTTGGAGTCGGGCCAGTGACGATTCTGTTTTTTATGTTTTGAGCTGGTGCTTGGAGGGTTGTTACAGCTAGAACAGCACCCCCTAAGGCGTTTGTACCACTGTGGTATTCCAGGATAACATTGAAGGAGCTTGAAGATACCGGAAAAATTGACAAGTCCCTTTTCACGTGGTACACTGTACTCCAGGGATTAATCCTCAAAGCATCGTAGATTATAATCTGCTCAGTACTCCTGTTCTCGATGGGATTCAGCAGCTGAATACCTATCACGTATCCAGGGGTACATCTGATCTGTATCAAGCGCTTCAAGCTCTCCTCCCCTTGTCTCCTGGATGTCACGATATACTTTATGTCACCCGTGATGAGATCGATGTTTCGAGAGTTATCGGGTATCATTATCGGTTCATATGGCTTGTCAATGGTCTGAGTCATGGGCTGCATGAACCATCCTGCAAATTCTCTTTGCTGTACTGCAGAGAGAGCAGGATTATGCCTGATTCCAGCGAATCCGTTGTTCTCGATTCTGGAATTTGATATTCGGAGACCCAATTGCTTGAAACTTATACCACTCCCTCGATTTCCAGAGAAGTCACTATTTTTCACGGTATTTACAGCGTCTGCCGAGTAAATGTCTGAGTAGATTATCCCAAGTCCGTCCTGAAGATTGTTCGTTACTTTGACGCCCTCCAAGGAGTGACGAGCAAAGTCTATTTGAAGAGCTGGTTTGAAGGAATTTGTTTTGTAATCCAGTAATCCAGCTCTTTCAATTGTGATGAACTGAAGATCACTTCTCTCAGCTAGTGGTCCAAGTCTGAGACCTGCCCAGGCTGCCTCGGAGCACCTGACACCCACATCGTTATCATGAGTGCACGAGTTTTCAAATTCACTGGAACTCTCAGCCTTGCACGCAGCGACATCGATGTCCTCCTCATCGCATTGGACATTACTCAAGATAATATCCTCGTTAGTCCCAGCACTGGGTATCTGGGATCTCTCGAGATTCCAGTCGTCAGGATCGAGAGTCAAACCAAGCTGATGGCAAACAAGTGCAGCGTCCTTGATATCCCAGCCATAATTACAAACAGTTCCCCATTTTTCTCCAATTCGGACCTGAAGTCTACCCTCACGACTTGTTTTACCACCGAGCAGTCTAACAGGCACCCTCTCGGTGTCGTCAATGATATTGCCAATGGTGACCCCTTCATCAGGACTCGTCATATCCTCAGTGAGAGTCTCATTATCATTATCCATGAGTATCTCCTCCTTCAGGGTCATAAGTATACTATTGGGACCCCTTCCCTTGGCATCCAATTTACCAGCGACCATCATGCCAACGGCCGGTGGAAATTTCAAGGTAACGCCAGGCTGTAGAATCAATTTTCCCCCAGGTCTCACATTGATATCTCTCTCGACAATATATTCCCCAGCTGGCAGCACCTCCAGACCCTCAACCTCACCCCCAACTCTCTTGCTCTCCTCCTCTAAAAATCTTGGTATAAACTGCGGACGCTCAACAACAGTATTCGCTGCTGGATTGCTGCTGTGCAGAAGATAAGGAAGATACTCGATCTTGGCTAGATTGTATCTGTCTTTACGATGGAATAATCTCTCCAGTATTCTCTCCTCTTCGATGTGTCCCAACCAGTTGTACGTGCAATTAAGAATCTTGCTCTGGTCCTCCAGATGTGATCCAATCTCGTACTGCGAGTGAAGATTATGCAGAATATTCCTGAATACGTGGACATTGCTGGAAGATATGACAACCACAGCTGCCACCCTTGATCTCGGCACCAGCCTGGACCCCTGCATATCACTGTTATCGAAAGGCGCCTTGATGAAGTTATCCCTCAAGAAATTTCGAGTGAACACCAGCTTCTGGACGTCGCTGTAAGGAGACAGACCAATGCTGACGACGAAAATGCCACGATTATTGTAAAACTCGTTGTACTGCAGCAGAAGATCGGTGGGAAGTACATTGAACTCTTCATACATTGGATTCCTGATAAGAATACCACCGAACCTCTGCTCCCTGAAATGATTGTACTCAATTCTACCCTCGACATTCAGCGCAGGTGCCATTTTAATCCCGACTTTGAAGTTTTCAATGAATAAATTGTGGCCAATTTGTAATTTGAGAATTCCTTGATTGTGCCTCCAGTTGGATTCAACCTGAACAGCTATCTCAGAACTACTGTTGAAGCAATTGCCAGTGATGTTGACGTACGATGTGCCAGTGGAGTTGCCAATCAAGACACCAATGTCTTTGTTCCGAAATATTTCCGAGTACTCGACGACAGTCGTTTGATTGAAATGAATGTACTCCGTGGAGATGCTGTCGTTGAGCCAAACAGCCAAGCCATATCCCTGATTAGATGATATCGTTGATCTCGATACGTTGCGGTAGCCCCCGGTCATCGTGATGTTGATGCCTGCACCATTGTTGTATGATATTCGACTTGATGTGATGTTCACATCAGCAGCACCTCGGAGCACATGGACACCACCAACGTGATTGCTGTTGGTGACTGATGTATCGTGAATGTGAAGGGACGAACGGATGTTTTCGACAGCTATTCCTCGGCCATTGTTGTCAGCTATGGAACTGCTTGACACGTTCAAATCGTAAAGCTTTCGGTAGCCCGACGACAACCTGATGAAAGCAACCATCTGTGTTCTCGGTTGGGCTGTGAATTTGATGTATAAATTCTGTCGGCTCGATGTGACACTCTGAGGTAATGTATTGTTCCTGACACTAACGAGGGCCAGGAGTTTGTCACTCGGGGAGATGCCATCGTGAACTTCGATAGTCGCACTGTCATTTCGATCTGTTCTCATCTCAAGAAACTGAAGCGTCAGCACGTGACCTGGACGTGTGAATATGTGCTGGGGGCAATGCTGTATATTTTGAGAGTACTTTGTTTGCTCCATGGAGATTGTTATTGGAAATGTTTGGCTAGTCGTAGCCGGGAATGTACACAGGTCGTGGAGATTTGCTCTGTCCAGTCTGTCGCTTGGACGCTCGTCATTGTGAACATATTTTATTCCATCTGCAGAATTGTCTAGGATCACGCAATTGTCGACGTGGGCTAGGCCTCGGGAGCTATTCATGTAGATACCATAACCCTGATTATTGCGGATTGTGCAGTTCGAGAGGACTATTGGTGCATTTGGATTTGTCACGTTCAGGCCGTTGTACGAGGAGTGCAAAATCGAGAGCCACGACATTTGCGGGGGAACCCCCTCCACGTGGAGTGCTGATGTTGCGTTTAAGTCTCGACCCGTTCCCGCGTATCTAGCGGATAAATAAATTTTTAAATTATGATTGTAAATGAATGTAATTTTCATTTGTAATTAATACTCACTTGATGGTTACATGCCGTAGAATCGACCGGGATCTTCTCACATAGAATGTGTTCTCCTGGATCAACGGCCTGTCGTAGACAGCCCCCTCGAATCTGATTCCTCTCCAGTGATTTTTTGCCTGGCCTGCCCCATCGTGATATGGAGAACAAGCGATGCTCAGGTCCGGATGATAGTCACACACCCCAGCACCCAATTGTCTAGCTGACCATTGCTGACACTCCTGCAGTGACGACTCGGTCCCCTGACATCCTGGCTCCTCGTAGAGAAGGCGAGGTGTTCCTGGCCACAACCGATCCAGCCAACCTGACCAACCGCCACCCTGGAAACCGAGCTCTCTGCACGCTGTCTCGTAATCTGCTCGAGTCCAGTTCCGGGAGTTCGTGCAGACAGATCGCCATGATCCCTGATGGAGAAGTTGTATTCTACCTTCCAGGGGACTTGGTCCATCCACCAGGCGAATGGACCTCGGCTCAGGCTGGCTGGACGGGGCCTCCGAGCTCGTCAAGACAATCGGCTCACCTGTCTCACCCTGAATAAATTAAAATTTGCAATCAATATACTCCCACACAATACCAGAAATAATTCAGAATCGTAACTGAATTAATAATTCTCTGGCTGAGAATATTTGATATTGAATGAAAAATTTGGAATGGCGAATGATTCGATAAAATTCCATGAAACGAAAATTCAATTCGATTGGTAATCACACAGGAAATTAATCTGATGATTGTAAATAGCTCTATTTAATTTTCCTCATTGAAACACCGCGTGAATGGTATTCCTCAATGGTATATTTCCGACGGGACTTTACGATCGCATAGAATTCCCGGAATGAGTGAAATTTTTAAACGATGAATGGAATCATTCATGTGCGAAACAAAATTGATTAATTTCACTGATTAAATCCACAAGCCTGTGAATTCGCCAGATATAGCGGAAAAATATTTACATTAATTAGGCCTTTACTCAATTCTTTAATTATTCAAATTCGAATTTAATTGTTACTCCCGAAAGCCCGTAAATACCATCACACAATTACTCAGAAATGAGCGAAAAATCGCCAAAACGAAAATTAAATAATTTTTTCACCCCAATGGTCGTTAATGACCGAATGCCTAATTACTCCGAAATAAAACACAAATTGAAGAGATTAGTTAATGATTCTCCGTTGGAAGTGTCGTAAATTCCCGTGAGAAATTGCTCTGAAATGCCGTAATACTTTTCCTGTCGAATATTTAAAAAATATATAAATATTTATAAAAGAATAATCGATTATTATTATCGACACTGGGGACAGCGAATGAAAAATCTTACCTTGTACACTCCCGAACCACGACTGAGAATGAGGACAAGTATTTCCTCGTTTATATACCGTCACTAATTAGCAAGAAATCAGGGATTACAGTCGATACAGCCAGACAAGTATAGAATTCCCCGGAATTCACTTGCCAACAGAATTGATAGCTTGCGGTTTATTGGTGGAATTTTTCTCAATGAAACCCGTAGGAAATAGAGAAAACAATAAATGGGGAATAAGTGGGGATTAATTTTGGCATGAGTATCTGAAGGGATTAAGCTGAAGGCAAGGGTTAATGTCGGTCAAGAACTATAAATTGACCTCCAACCCGCTGTATCATGGAGGCGGATGATGAATCACTCATTCAGAGAGACTCTCACTCGACTCTCTTTCTTCAATAATTAGCGAATTAGAGGCAAGTTGAATCTTCCGTCAGAGTGGCTCGACATCAAACGAGTTAATGAGTTAATTTCCCGCCCTTCGGCAATATGATTGAGGAAGACGTTTATTTTTCAGTGTCAACAGGAAAATTACTGACGTAACAAATTACGTCTTATCTCCAATAATTCGTAACAATAACAAACAGGTATAACGTATTTACCCGGGAAAATCGATTGTAAAAAGTGAATTTAATTTAATTTCGGTCTTGGAATTTTGATAATGAAAATTGAAGGTGAGAGAAATTTCAGAAATGGTTTTTCAATTTTTTATGAGAACGCAGCGATGATTTTATGATTTTTAAGTTAGAAAATTCTTGGATTCCATGTGATATGATGATGTAATATCGATTCAATTAAAGTATCGATGATACGCTCTGATTACTTGGACTAGGTGATGAGGATAACGGCATTTCACACCGACTCGTTAATTCTCTAATGAAATCTGTTAGCGATGGTTGTTGGCAAAGAGAGTTGAAAAATAATTCAATCGAGGGACGACCGAAGCCACTGCAGCTCCAGTGGGTTTAATTTCTATTATAGTCTCACGTTAATGAGTTTATGGTGCCCTAAAAAAAGACACGTGGGTGCAAGTTACGGGGCCATTACACATCCAATCAATTTTAGTTTAACGCTCGTTACATCAACGTGAACGCATACTCCAGGGATGAGTACGTATTCAATTATTGTATAATTGTTTAAAAAATACCTCTGGATAAAAGACAGTGGTAATTTGTTTAAATATTCATCGGGATCTCGAGAGATCGATTAATTGATCACGAGAAATTTGATATCGATTCCTTCTTCGCGATGAAGAGGACGTGGGGCTTCTCACTTCCTGTCCTGGCGATTTCCTGTCTCAGAAAGTTGAGGCCTGCAGGTTCACGATAAAAAATGGAGACGAGTGGTCCTGAATTTTTATATGTAATTGCCAAAAAAATGTTTAACTCTTAATAGAGCGGTATAAAAAAATGAAAAATCTGTAGGGATTTTTCCTTGAAGTACCTGAGACATGGAAAGCGTAACGACTCGGGGAAATGAGTGAATTTGAGTTAATTATCTCTCGTTGCGGTGGAGGAATAATTGCACCCGGAAGTTTGATGACAATTAATGTACCTATTCTCATTTTACAGACGATTTTATGGGGTGAAAATAAATTATTCCAGAGCTGCAATTGTTATTCAATTATATTCTCCTCAATTTTTCATTTTCATAGTTGAAAAAATTTCGAGGGAAATTCATAAAAATTCGATTGTTAAAATTATTAAATCTCCAGTTAGTTCGGTATATTTATTTAGAGCTCCTGTACACACCTGTCTGCGTTTACATCAATGCAACAATAGCAATATGTCCGTTATGCATGGCGAATGGGATAAATACACCTCCATTCACCATTTTCTGGTATTTCCGGCGGTGGTAGACAAGACTTGTATATAATTTCATACACTCGTGCATAATGCATGATGATTTTGCCCTATGACACGATAAACCTGTAATTTCCCTGAATTTTTTCAATTTCTTGAATTTTTTCAATTTTTTTCCACCGACAAAAACTTTCCCTTACCATTTTTCAATTTTTTGTTTAATAAATAACTAGCAAGACGTCTTGTAAAATAGAATTTAATTTTCATAATCAAATGGTATTTTTTTTCAGGATAATTATTCGACTCGGTAAACGGTCGGTGATAGCGCAGATTCTGACGGAAAAATTCTTGACAGATGAAAAATCAGGATAAAGTACTCGGGATGTTAACCGAGATGGAATTACCGCAATTTTTTATGGACTTTAAAGTGCGGCTGGGTAACATTCATGGATCTTTTACCATGCGGACTTACGGTAGAGTAAAATAGTGGTGTACGTTTACAGTTTAAGAAGTACGAGATATTAAATTACCCTGCAATTCGACGCAAACGTGAATCCCGGATTCTATCATCCGGAAGAGTTATTTTACACCGGCAAGGAAGTCAATGGAATTTCTCCCTAGAATAAAGACGAGAAAATGACAACAATTGGAGCAAAACCCCAAATCCCGAAATAAAAAAACAGTTATAAATTGAGTTTGTAAAAATGGAATAATAATTAATAATAAAGAATATTTTTTAATTTCCACAAATGGAAAACCGAATCACCGGATGTTTTAACAATATTCCTCGTTTTTATATTCGATTCATGAAAGGGAAATGTTCTCCGACGAAAGTTAATTCATCGGAACGGAGTTCCGTTCACATTTTTATGCTATCTAATATTTAATGTTTTCCACACGCCTGAGGGGAAAATAAAAAAGGTGACCGCTTATTTTTTTTCTTCAGCAAATGAACCAGTTTCCTTGGAACCTCGAATAATTCATGGTCCAGTGCCGCAAACCGTTTTCTTTTTTCAACCAGCTATTTTAAATCTTTTCAGAATGCCGAGCTGAATCTCCTCATCGAGTATTCAATGTGATCTCTTCAGGTTCCACTCATGAGCAAACACTCGGGTAAACATTGCAGCTAGATAGGATGGGCAGAAAAACTGGGCTGCAAGATCATCGCTAGATCGTCGCTAGATCATCTCTTGAGGCAATGCCCATTGGTAAACCGTCCACTTCCGTTTTCAGTGCTTCAAAGGTGAGACAGACACCCACAGAGAATTCTCCAACAAAGAAAATCCCCTGCCAAGAATCCGTTACGCCGACTGACATTTTCCAGGAATAATTACAATTGTTATTTTTGCGCAATCGTTAGTGAAAAAGGACAAGCCAAAAAGGTCGCTCTCCGCGGAAAATGTCAGCGCAATGAGAAAATTTAATGTTTCTCTTAAAAATAATTGTTCCCTAGTTTTTAAACTCAAAATCGCGGTTTCCGTTGAAAAAATGTCCGACAAATTGCTGACACAATTGCCCCGGAAAAAAAACCGTTTTTGCATTAATGAAATTTTTATGAAAATTATTACGCAATCGTGACATTTTGGGAGTAATTAATTGATTTATGGGAAAACTGGAGGAACCGGTAATTTTAATAGAAATTTCTCTTTAATTTGTGGCCAGGGGTTTTGCGGTGGGGGATCGGTTGAGTTTCTCGGGTGAATCACGAATCTCTGACAGTCATAATTGTAGTGAACGTGATTCATGCATGTGCACGTCACCCATCGGCATTTGCTCGTCAGCTTATTTCGAAATATTGTTTGATTCTTCCTCGTTAGCTTTGAAAATGGGTTCGATGGAAGGGGAAATGATGAGCACCAACGCATACTCAGGGATTTGGAACTGGAATAGAAAGTAGACGAGTCTCCACAGTTCTAAATAAATCAGTATTTTTCAAATAATTGCATCAAAAATTCCTCCAAACTTTAAATATTAATTTCCATTAAAAAAATCCACAAATAAATAAAATCACGGAAAACGGAATCAATGATTCAATGAATTCCCCAATATCTTAAGTCTCTTATCAATTTCCGGAGATATCCCATATCACCGATGATTCAGAACAAAAAAAATTAAATATCGGTCCCCCTGAATCATCAATTGCACTAGGTTGAACCCCATACCTCTCCAATTATTCTTATCAACATTTAAAACCCCGGTATTTACAACTCGTGCCAGTGATAAGATAAACCATAACCCGATAGTACCTAGTGTCAGGTGAAATGTACACCTCACTCGTGTCAACTGACATGTAGGGGATTCATTCATGAGAACTGGGGAAAAAAAAAATAGAAGAATACAAGGGAGAGTGGGTCAGGTAGAGGATTTTCCCCATTTCTATTCACTCTCATCTCCCAGGGACCCAAAATCTCACAATAAATCTAGTCAGGCATTTCAGCCTCAAAAAAAATCTCACACTGTTCCCGGAATCCTCGGAATAAACACATAAACATGGAAATTATTTATTTAAACGATAAATACATTTTCAGGGAATATAACAATAATTTTTCAATAATAATTCCGAAATATTGTTCAATCAATTTTTTTTTATTTCCGCGTTTTTTTATTTGATGGGGGAAGGGGATGAGTTAAATAATTGCATTGCATAATTATATGAGAAGTTCTTTATAGATGCATATTTGGCAGAAAGTATAGATTTTTTCAGTTGAAACTCCCACCGATCTGAACTTTACTTCACGTTCCCCTCGTACTTTCGCTCGGTGAAATAATCCCTCTCTCTCTATTCAAGTTGCTTCTTCTTTCCCGTGAGACTTTCCTCATCCTCCGAACAAAGAACACTCTGAATCCATTAATTCGAGAATGCATCAGGATGCACTCGGTGGAATATGGTTGCAAGTGAATAAATAAATGTACCGGAGTAACGAGATATTTTCATTTTAAATTCGTTTTAATCTCCTCTGCTGAACTTTCAAAATTCAATTGCTGATATAAAATTGATGAACTATAATTAACTGGATATGAATTGTCTGGTAGTTGAGGATTGTAATAAATGTCAGGAAGAATTTTTCATGAGTGATGGGAAATTAAAATCCCATGAGATATTTTAATATATTTTGAATGTGAATGGAGTCCCCAAAGGATTTCAAATCATTACCCATGTTTACCTTGGCAGTGATGATGCCCCGAACAGTGATACCGATCATCGGGGCAAACCGGATCTCGACACCGGGTTCGACAACGAGTTCACCCTCGCGTTCAACATAAAGATCCTCCCTGAGTAGATAAGGACTCTTGGACCTCTCCAGGATCCTCTGACCACTGATGATATGTCCTCCAGGAAATTCCGTGAGACTCTTGGCGTCATCCCTTGGAATCGTCGGTTCAGTGTAATAAATCGAGGGTGTATCCGTCGACACCTCGTCCTGGCCCCTCACAATAGTTATCACAATAAAAAACCATAGTGAATGCATTTTACACTCGAGACTCTGTTTCAGTATCTCCAAACGCAAAACGATTTATAAACCAGTATCACATATCAGAGCAACAACCTCAGGGTTGATGTAACGATCGTTCCTCCGTCGTCAAGATACATCCCAAGCATTTATAAAAAACTGTAATCCTTCTATCACTTTAATGAAAGATAAAAAACAACTGGAGATATTGAAAAAATCGATCGATACGATTCGAATTCACTTTCAACCGATTATCGCACTGACTCTTGATTACACACATTCACGAGACGCTTTATCCCGGTGTTGTGTAATTCCGTGGAGTTTCGCGGATGAACTCAACTGGAAATTAACGCGGAGAGATTAAAATAATGATGAATAATGGAAGTGGTTTTTTTTTTTTAGGGTTGAACTTGTGGGTTACGTGGAAAAATGAATTTTCTCGGTGGCAATGTGTACCTGACGCTAGTGGCAACCCATTGGGTGCGGTTTGACTTGGGTGCACTTCTACAAAGCCAGTGGTTGTTTGTTGCCTCCACCTCCACTTCTACCTTTCGAAAAGTCGTAGCCTGATCACGTGATACCCTCAGAAACTACGTCACTGCAGGTTGTGAAACAGGTGAGATACAGGGGGTTTGGTGGTAGTACTATTGTCCGGGGGACGTTACCATCGCGACGGACTCGCGGTATCGCGTCCACCTGAATTGACCTCTCGGTTTTACTCGGTTTAACTAATCCACAGTTTGCGTTCTCCAGGGAAAAGACCTTTGAATTACGTTTGAATGTGGGAGGCGCGCTTTGGTGACTGGTGGGGGATACCAAAGAGTGGAGTACCCAGCATTGCATGTGGCGTCCTCTCTCTAGTCTCTCTGGTAAAGAAATTGCGGTATTACCATCGGTAAGTTATCGTGCGTTGAAAACATGAAATTGAGGATTATCGATAAAAACTATCGATTCATCGAATCGAATCGATAAATTCAGAATCGATTTATCGCATATCGATTCTGAATGCTCGATTGTAAAATCGATATTTTTATTTTATACTGTTTGAGCTTTCTGCAACTCAGACGCAATTTTTTTTTAATTAAAAAATTTATCTTTAAATGAATTTTCATATTTAAAATTTCCCATTTTATTTACACTCACGGTAGCGCGAAAATAGAATTTTTTGGTTCAAGCATTCGACCCATGTTTGGAGAAATGTTGAATTGTTTATGGTATCATCGATTAGAACACCTGAGGCTTGCACAACGTTTATATTCAAAGGTAAAATCATTACATCAATGATTAACCAGAATATTCCTGTTTTTTTTTTTACTGTTGAAAGGGCTTTTGTCACAGGCGTCCTTTAACCTGAAAAATCAGGATGACCACTCGAAGACTGTTGATATGATTGGACCCCCAGATCCTGTCTCTAATCTGAGACCAATTGCCTTTGCAGAGTCTCGTAATGAAACGAAAATTGAAAAACAGTACAGGGAAGCGAGAGAATCCACTCATGAGTGGAATCATAAATTCTGGAGTGAACACAATGCCCGATTCATCTCGGTATGTTTACAAAATGATTTTGGAATTGAGAAATGAATATTCTGAATATATCCAGCGACTTTCGTCGTACATGAGGAAATTCTCCCATCTTCAGTATTCGTTTATAAGTTCTCGAATCAAAAAAGAATTTTTTTTCCTTCCAGGAACGTAAAGAATTCCAAAATAAACTGAAGGCTGAGGGGAAGGAGTCAGTGACTGCAGATGAAATGTCAGTCTTCTATAAACAATTTCTAGATAATAATTGGAAAAATCATGTGAATTACAACTACTCCTGGTACAAGCGGAATGTGAAAATTCTATTCCTGGAAATAAGAGTGAGATTATCGAAAATGAAGTTCAAGTGAGTTTACTATGAATTATTGTTAATCAATGATTTTTTAATAAATATAATCGATAGGAAAAGTTATTCAAAAGAAACGACTTTACATTGACAATCTTTAGTGGTACAGTCTCATGTGGTACATTTCCTTCTTAAGGCATCCAATTTCTTCCTCCTTCTGCTTTACGATGGACATTAAAAATACATGTTGTTGTTGTTCAGAATTGAGTTGAGATTGGAATTCGTCTGTTGCCTCGCATAATTTTTGTGATGTGTATCTGGCAGCAAGCAGAATTTTTTTATTCTCTCGAAAGAGTGAATTGATCTTTTCTTCTAGAATTAAACACTGAGAACATTTTTTCGGTTGTTTGAATTTGTAACTCTTGGATTTATTAATTTTTTTTAGAGTCATTGTTAATTCGTAATTCTGTCGTCTTAATAAATTAAATTCTCTGATTAAACATTCGTATTCTTGAGCTGCTTGTTGGGATATTCTCTCATTATTATGAAGGATCTGTAAATTTATCGTAAGTTTATTTTTTTTGGAGAACTTGTGTAATAGACTTTGATTTTCTTACGTTTTTAAATCTCCCAATATTTTTTATTTGATTCTCAATGAGTTTCTCCTTCTTTAACAGTTCACATTTGCAATCTTCCCTACACTGATCAATTTCTTCCCTGAAATCATTCGCTACTTTCGACTCTTTAATCAAACATTGTTTTAGATTTTCTATTTCTTTTTGAAGCTCGTCGCATTCACAGCATTTGGATTTCAATTTTTTACCGATGTCGGAGTGTTCTGCCATCTTTATCAAATTTCAAATATTCATGTAAAATCATTTATTATTATTTATTGATAAATTCATCGATCTATCATGAAAAAAAAAATTTCCATCCAATTAATACCTTAGAAAAAAGTTTCTTCTCATTTTCGTCAATCCTAGATTTCTGGTCAGCACAATTACTCATCATCTCAGATATCTTCTTCTTCTGTTGATCTATTGTATTCGTTAATTCTAATATTCTCGTATTTAATTTATTTCTTTCCTCAGTCAATGAATTTTCTCTCTCTCGTATCACATTTTGCAGCCTCTTAATTTCATCTTCACCTGCAGGATTTTCCCTCTCCTCTTTTTCCTCCAGGGATTTCAATTTTCTCGTCAAATTTTCAGTTTCATATTTTAAGGATTCATTTTCAGTCGTCAGTGTTGAGAGTTTTTCCTTCAAACCCTCGCATTCACGGATTATAATGCCATTTTCAGCAGTGAGTTTGGATATTTGCTCCTCAAAATTCTGGCGTTCATTTCTAGATCCATTATCAGTAGTAACTTCGGTATTTATTCCCTGTAATTATCAATGGCAACTGAATAAATTAATTAAATTATGATAAATAAAAATTTTTATTGTCTTTACCTACTTGGGTCACTGAATGTCTGATCAAATTTTTTTTCAGCTTTCGTGGTTCATTGAATTTAACTTGACTAGATGAATCTACATTTTCTCCAATTCTGGTATCATCCAGATAAGGCGATCCTGCCCTAGGAATTCGTGGACGTATAAATTATTCTTATTTCCCCATTGAAATCTTTACAATTGCACAAATTACATAGGCTCATTAAAATTCGTGGGGGATTTCTCTGAGGATTTTGATTTATCTCGACGATTCTTCTTGCAATGACAACACTTGGACTTCAATTTCGGAGCAGAAACCGCTGGACTAGGCAATGGGCTTTTGTGATGAACACATGGACAACTCTGCCTGGGCATTCTCACGAAATGCCAATTATCCACTAATAATAATTCCAAACTAAATAATTTCAAGATAATAAATAGATTATTAATCAGTTAAATAAATTGAATTAACGCTGAAGTTTGCAGAGATTTTCAACAGAGTCCCTAGGTTTACGTCTTTAAAACTATATTTTTATCGTTATGTACACACGTAGTAAACTTCACACTGATAAAAAAAAAGCGAGTTGAATTAAAGAATTGAACATGTAATTTTTGGCAATGGAGAATGGGGGATTCTTCAACGGTCTTTCATCCTCGGAAGACATTATAACACTTCTCCAGGTCTCCCAGTCAATCTCCTCCTCGACGACATCGACCGAGCAGTCAAAATCAATTGAAAGTACCTCAGAGAGACTGCGGAATTCATCAAGAAATCTGAATGAGGAGATTGATGGGATTTCCAGAGGAAAATGGAGAAGGAAATTCAGCAAGATTGGATGGAACAAATATATTCGCTGGGATTTACTGTTTACCTTTGGATGTATCCTATGGATAGCATTGTGTATTGCGGATTACGTCTGTCCTTCAACGATATATACAATACGGGAGATAAAATTGCGGACTAAACGGGCGAGAAACTTCGACATCACTTGGAAATACAAATTTTTCTCCTATTTCAGTTATAACGTCATTCCTAATTTAATCGAGACATTCATGTTTGTCGTATTTTTTGGAGTCATCGCGGTTACTGAAAGTTGCATGAAGAAGAAATGGTTTAATGATTCACAAACGATTCGGTGAGTATTATTGTTTAGTGTAAACCGAAAGAATTAATATGAATGGAAATATTGCGATAAAAACATTCAAAACCTGTGGATTTGCATCCGTGTCTTGAAAAACACTTGGCATTTAATTTATCCTATCAGGTGCAATTCCATTCGCCTCCTGCCAATTTACAACGAGCAGGACTTCGAATTTGATGGATTAGAAGAGTCTGAGGACACCTATCACAATTCAGAAGATCTGGGAGAATTAAAGTACATTAAAATTGAGGGCGAAAGAAAATTACAAATTCATCCTGAGCTGTATTGGCAGTGGAAATTATTCAAGAGAACTGCAGAGATAACGACAAGAATAAAACAGAAGAATAAACGGCTGAATAAATTGGGACTGCATACATCGGATTTTCCAGCTAGAAAACTCCTCAAATATGATCCCGTAGATGAATCCAGTTTTCAATCTTATGAAACTTACGATCAAGAAATTCATCGGTTTATTATGGCTCAAGATAATTCATCGATTAAATTCGACAAGATTATAATAGATTTGCAAAAGACCAAGAGGACTTGTCCCGCCTCGACCTCCAGTCCCCAGAAGATAAACCCCAGGATTATCAGCTCGTCTCCAGCATTCAAAAACTTTCTCTCCAGACTGAAGATAAATTCCCCTCCATGTAACAAATTGACTTTTTAACAACCTTTTAACTATTTCATATTATTTATTTATTCATACGATTTTTTAACCCTACGTTTACACTAATTTGTCACCAAAGTAATAAAATTTGAGATTAACAATTGCGTTTCAGTTATCATAGCATCATCTATGCTCAACTGACACTAGAGGTCAATGAAAATTTGTTGGTCCCATTAATTATTGTCAGTCACTCAAGAATTTTATATTTTTCATGCTCTTATGAGGAAATAATACGCATAAAAGAAACTTTGGTCAAAAAAAATTCTCCGCAATTCAATAAAAATGGATATTTGAATATTTACGTTCTAGCAGTCATGAATAAGATGTCAAATAAATGTCAGCAAATTATCTCATAAATGTAACCCAAACTTAACTCGATTCTCACTAATTCCCAGAGGTCTGCATGAAGGTTTTTGATCGTTTGACGTTCCCAAGCTTGCAATTATTAACATTGCTTGCAAATCTCAAAGAATTGAGGGTCTCATTGTAGCACTCATCGAGAGGTGAGATGTTCAGCAACATGAGAGTCTTGGAGTTGCCCCCGAGTGAAGGCATGAGCAAATGAGTGAGTTTGGAGTTTCGGTACGGGATATGCTCCTGTTTCCTGAGTAACGCCAATATAACATTTCCTAAATTAGCCAGACTCTTGTTAATATTCTTTGTCTCAGCAGTCCTAGCTGCCTCCTCATTTTTCAGCCTCTCAGACCCAGCAAGATCTACGAGATTCAAGTTCCCAATGCAAATCTCTTCTTTCTCAGCGTGAGTCCCAATGAGCCTGATCCTGGCTACAGAATGAGACCTCGATGATCTCTCGTTGGCAGTCGTTGCTGCCACTGCTCTATTTTGTTGAGCAGTCCTCAGGCACTCGTGTAACTCCTGGGGACTATTAATTTCCTCAACTTGAAGATTCGTGACGTATAAATCAGTCCCTTTGTTATCGACCATTCGAATCTCGTGAGTCTTTTGGTTAGCATCTAGCAGATCAACAATGTGCTCATTATAAATCTCTAAAAAGCTGGCTTCGATCTTGTACTGCCACCCCAGCAGTTTGAACTCCTTCATCTCCTCGAAAATATGACGAACAGTCCTGGGGATCATGCCTTCCATCTCGGCATTGCATCCCCCTTCCATTGTATATGTCTTTCCCGATCCAGTCTGCCCATACGCAAATACACAGACATTGTATCCCTCGAGGGCCGATTGGACGAGCAAAGAAAGTTCTTCGAAGACAGTAGCTTGGGAGGCATTGGGCGGGAATATTTTGTCAAAGGAAAACTCCTGTTTGGTTCCCCTCGACTTTCCACTGCAGCTCAAACTGTCGGATCCATCAGCCCTTCCAATCTCTATCGTACACTCATCCACGTAGTTAATCGAGCAAAGATTTTTATTGCTCTCCTTCGAGATTCTCGGACGGACCCGGCAGAATACTCGAATGTTTCCTTTCATTTCTTGAATATAATTATGCAAAACTCGACGATCTTTGTCCATTTGATGCAGAACCTCCTGGAGTTCCTTCACTCTATCACTGAGTTCACCTATTGTTTGGATCTTCATGGATAAATCCGATTGAACTCTTTTTAATTCTGACGAATGCGATGCCAGCGTTTGTTCCATGGTCCTGCAAGTCTCCCTGCAGTCTTTTAAGCTCTCGGAAACGTTTTTGTAATTTTCCTGACACTTGTGAAGATCAAACTCCAGTTTCTCAGACTTTGTTTCAAGCTCTGTGGCATTCCTCTTCGTTTCGGATAGCTCCTTCGACAGTTCTTCATTGGCTTCTTCGAGTTGTTGCGCTTTGATGCTGCTTTTAGACTCTCGCTCCTTTAAATCGTCAGTGATGGATTTGAGCTCCTCATTCTCTTCGGATACGTTCTTCAATTTTTCTTTCAGGGAAGTTAATTCCTCAGCAGCCAGGCCGTATTTCCCCTTCCAATCCCATTTGCTGGGTTTGGGAGCTGTTTTGGCAGTGGTCACGGGGCGAAGGGATTTTCCTGACACTGCGGACGTGGAGGCGATGCTTGAGGGCCCTGTCTTAGGGAGAGGTCGAATATTCGGGCGTTTGGATTCGATTGTACTCATCAGAGTTCCTGGACGCTTCACTCCAGCTTTCACCGCCGTTGTCGCTCTCGTTATCGTACCCAAGGTACGAGAACGACGGAGGGAAGACTTAATTGGAGGTTTATTCTCATTGGTGATTTTTGTCAGACCCATCGTCGTCTTCTGCTTTCCTAGAGTTCTCAAGGTGGTGTTGGGCCGCGTGGAGGGAACTTCCTTGGGAACTTTGAAGTTAGGGTCCTTGGAAATGTCAGATGTGCTGACCGAATGAGAGGGTAAACCCGCAGTGCTCGGTTTTAACGATGAAACCTTCGAGATCTGCTCCGAGTTCATGACGGATTTGGAGAGGTTTATCTTGGGTTTCGGCAGGCGTGACTCCATCTGAAAGAGTTTTGATTTCAAGTTAATTTTTTTACGCTTGAATTACGATGGATTTTCAATTCAGATTAAGATGGCACTGCAACGAATGTACACTATATTAATTATGAAGGTATAAATCGAGTGCACGTGAAGGTAATAACCTTGAATTGGTAAAGAGGTCCTTATATTTTCGTCCCACGAATTATCAGTCTTGGATAATAATTTCCACAATAACAGAAGACGCATTAATCACAACATCTGCATTTCGACACTTCACAATTGGCAGGAATTATTTATTACACTAATTGTTGGAGGGTATAAAATTGGGTGACTGGAAACGATTGTCGGTGGACTTGGAGTTGGCGGTTGAATGGCAGTTGACTCCAAACATGTTTGAACTCGAAGTACGTTGGCAGTAGACCAATCACGACAGGCAATATGGCGTAACCAATCACCGCCGCTTATTTAGCATCCCCTTTGGACGGCGCGAAATTTTTCAAAAGCTTCAAGAAAAAAAGAAAAGCTTCAAAAAAAGCTTCAACAAGAAAATATTATAGCGTTGGCCCATGAACTAATCCAGGGAATTAGTAGAGACCCAGTTCTGCACCCCAAGAGAGGGAGGGCGCAACACGCAATGCTGGGGTGTACATCAAGTCGAGGGGGTGAATTTTATTTTCTGCTGTACGAATGCTTTTTGTTTTTCATTTGCTTAACTGAAATTTAAACAACTATAGAACGTGTGGAAGGGGGAAACCACATCTTGTGGAATTTCAATAGAAAAAATTATTCAATATGTTGAACATATACCACTAATGAGTTTAAATTTTTAAATTAGCGCGTTGTCCTAGTGGTAACCTGCTCGACTGGCACGCCAGCGGCCCGGGTTCAATCCCGGCATCATTAATTTTTTTTTTTTCATAATAATTCCAATTTTTTTTTTTTGTTAATGGCAAATCAATCGAAATATTGTTTAAAAACTGAATATTTAATAATCGAGGAGATATGCAATGAAATTGAACAATTAGCAATTTTTTAAAACGATACTTTTGCAATATATATACTCCTAATGAAATTTTATTATTGTAAAAGTGCGTTATCCTAGTGGTAACGTGCTCGACTGGCACACCAGTGGCCCGGGTTCAATCCCGGCATCATTAATTTTTTTTTTTTCATAATTATTGCAATTTTTTTTTTTTGTTAATGGCAAATCAATCGAAATACCGCTTAAAAACTCAATATTTGAAAATCGAGAAGATATTTAGTAAAATTGAAAAATTAGCAATTTTTTAAAACGATACTTTTGTAATATATATACTCCTAACGAAATTTTATTATTGTTAAAGTGCGTTATCCTAGTGGTAACGTGCTCGGCTA